AAACTGATTTTATGTCAATCTTAATTATACAAAAAAAATATATTTAATTTCTTGTTAAATATCTTCTCTTCGCTCGAATATAGGAAACTAATTTGATGTCAATTTGTTGGATGTTAGTAAGTAAATTTGTTGGGTTTACATTTTGTAAATCTTCTTCACTTAGTTTACTCAATGAAAACAATCTAATTTGATTGTCGATTAATTTGACTGTATTACAATATACAAGAAAACTAATTTTAAATCAATTTGATGATTGAATGTGAATTATCAATTTGGAATTCAGTTGAAATTTCGTGTGCGTTTGAGTTTCAATAGGAGATATACAAAATGGCCGAATTCTATCTAATTTTGTTGTTAAATATGTGGTGGGTTGGGTTTATACTTGGTTAGAGAAGTAAACATCGTAACGGATTGGAAAAAGTGCGCATAGTTCGCTGGAAATGAAAAAAAAAAAGCTCGCAAGTGGAAAGCTCGAGCAGAGCTACCGGGAATTGTGGTGGGGGAGACACGACGTACGCGAAGAGCTCGTAACCAAGCAAGAAGCTACGCAACAAGCACATTCGGTCCTGCTCTGAAGCCGAGCGAGTGTAGAGGATTACAGTCAGTCACCAACATTACTTACTCCCTCTACGAACTTCAGTCAGCTCGCGCGCTTCTCGTCGAGCGGTCGTATCTACCGGTAGTGACGTAGCCGGAACCACGGAGTCGCCCAACGGCACAATGGTGCTACAGGTGTTAGATCAAGTCTCAATTACAAGTGAACCCTTCTACGGTGATTGTCCACAAACCTACACTAACCTGGACATCAACACATCCAATCACACCACATGTACGGTGGTCCCACAAGGTATATACTTTTTAAATAAATAAATAAGTAGAAACATCAATGCGAAAAAATACCTGTAAAATGAACATAACTCAACATTTTCGGAGATCGAGGAGTCCCCGAAACACCACCGGATGTACTTCCGTTCGGATCATACGCGCTTTGATTACTCACACATACAGACAGCAAAGCTCGTATTCAACCGTAAATCAAGAAATAGTAGGCCACGGTCGTTTTCATTTATTTATTTTTTCTCTTCTTTTTTTTTTACATGCATTTCTATTTGGTAAAATGTCACTTTCGGCATTAGCGACGCGCATCCAACCTTATCACGATATACACTTAAGCAAAAATGATGTAACTTCTTTGCTTTCTACCATTATTTTACGCAGCATATTCAAATAATCTTACATATATCCAATTAAATTAAAACAAGCGATGGCAGTTCTTTTTACCCATTTCAGAAACCTTTATATAATCTTACAAATTCAATAATTATTCTGAAATAAGAATTGTTCATATAATCTTGTATGTAATTAATTTCAAACAAGCGACGGCAGTTCTTTTCAGAAACCTGTCTATAATCTTACAAATTAAATAATTATTCTGTAATAAGAATTGAATTTGGTTGAATAGTCGAATTGGAAAGCCGTTGTTGTTTTGTTTTTTTGGTAGAGGGTACAGAAAAGGTATTAAGTGTGTTATTATTCGGCGGCGACGGCACGGGCCGGGCAACAGGTGTATGCCATAAGGCAAGGGCATATGTGGAGGAGTCAGCTGGAGGACAGCGGACCATATGTCTCGGGACACCGAACACCAAATCCACCCCAAAAAATAAAAGAAAAAATAATTTAAGCGAAGACGGAGAAACGCAGGCAGAATCTTCGGATGAAGTTTCGCTTCCGGTGTTTATTAGGATATATTGAATATGCACTGTTGTTGTTGATTAATTTACATACGATTATTGAATCATCAATATTTAAATTTATAATAAACTTAAGTTTTAAGTGCATTTATTTATTTGTTGCTATTAAAATATTATTATTTAAAATAAGCTCACTTACTACCAGTTCAAGAGAATCCAAAGAAGAACAATAGAAATTAAAAATATTACCCTGTTATTTCTTAATTAATGAACATTCATTATTTTCATTATATATGTGAAACGTTTATTTAAAATTAAGTTTTATCTTTTTACATATAAATTCCAATGATTGATGATGGAAATTTCGATTTAGAAAAAAAAAATTAACTACTAGTTAATGGAAAAACAAAAGAACAAGAAAAAAACTATCGCAATGCAAGAGATAACATTAGACGTAGCCATGCTATATTATAAATTGATCATGAACTACCGCAATGTTCTGCAATGTATATAATACGTATGTGTGTGTATATATATATATGACTCGTAAGAGCGGTTTCTCTAAAAAAATATAAACTGGTGTTTAAGACAGGTGCATTGGAATATAAGCGCACCTGCTATATCTCTTCCTTCCCCTCTATAACGCAAGATATCATCACTCGGGCGTTTATACCTACAACAAACGCCGTAGGAATAGAAATTGCATTATTTTTAAAGGGAAAAAAAGCACTCGGACGATCCTATCTTGCGCAATTCCATCATCTAGCAATTTTTCTGATCCGTTTTCTTTTGTTTTCTTCTTTTGGTCATTCCTTTAACCTGCACCAAAACCAGATCACTATCTCCGGTGTCAACTGCGGTCGTGGAAAGGTGCTAAAAGAAAAAGGGCCTCTAATAAATTTCAACTTTTTTCTTTCTTCTTCTTTCGTTGCTGCACACAGAAGGAGGAACGTGCGTGCCAAAAAAAAACACAACGGTTGAATGAATGCAAAGCAGGGGTGATTTATTTTGTTTCCTTTCTTTTCTTGTTAAAGCATAACTAACTTAGATATCCGATACTCTTGAGCTCTTAATTATCCGTAGAACCGTTTCGAGGCTGTCAAAGTCTTATTTCCTTGCATTTATTTTTCGCACGCTAAAAACTGTATTTATTGATTTTTATATAAAGTTAAATCACTTAAAGTGATTGTCAATATTTCATGTTTAATCTGTCTAAATCTTATCAGCTGCATTTGCAACGATTTATTCAATGGAAATTTCATGTATTTCTCTTTTTTTTTGTGTACAGCTACTAAGATTATTTATTGAATGACGAATTCGTCTGCGAGTTCAATAAATAAAAAAAAAACGTCTACTTATTGCGTGAATATAATGTATGGACGTTAACTTCTATAAACTGTCTTCGAGCGTTGACATACGCTCTTTGAATAATTGATTCAAATTAACGATACTCATCAATTGACCGATGGTATTTTATAATCCTGACACATTCAAGCAGCATAGGATGTGTGTATATATAAAATATAAAGAATGAGCGTGTGTGTATGGAAGAAGTTAGTCGAACTATTAATGATGTTTCTTTATGAAAATGTAATTCACGCGATCGATTGGATGATAGAAGCTTTTATCCGATGCGCGCATTGGTTGAGATGTTGGCAAATGCGGATTCGTTTATTTTTAGCTCGGAAATTTATCGACTAGCCTTATTTTTTTTTATATACTCTTAACCATCATCATCTAATCGCGTATCTTAGCAGCGCGAAAACAGGAAAGTAAATTATTTTCGTTGCGCCGTAAAATAAATTATGCGGTGTTATGTGCTAGATGCAATAACAGTATATGTATGTGTATATATACTAAAGAGTGTAATTAATATTCTAGTAGAAAAGTCCATCCTGCGCGGATGTCCGGTTATGACTAACGTTGATTGACTGAATCCAAAATCTAAAATAATCATTCAACACGTTTTCTGATACACATATACCCCGTGCGATTTGCATATGCGAGAGACGTAGGTAGTAGCGTCGTGGAAATTGTGAAAACAATCGGAAGATTTTCTTTCAGCCTGAAAGTTTTCCGCCAACGTTTGGACCAACGGCGCGCTGGAGAGGGCGGGCACCGGCCTCACAATTAGTTGGTGTGGCGAGAGGCGTTTCAGCGTAGACCAATGCCGATCACACTTGGCCACCACGCATCATCCATCGGCCTCTTTCTTTTTCTCTCTCTCTCTCTCTTTCTCTCACTTACACACACACCCTTTTTCTCGCTTGCGCACAAACTACGTCTCTCCTCTCTTCTCTTCTCTAATCCTCCACGAATCTGCTCTATCTTTTTATTGAGCATTGTTCTTGCGCTGCCCACAATTCCTATGCGCACTCTCTCTGTCTGTCTGTCTATTATCTATAGATACAAAACGGTGCCATTTTTTTTCTCCTTCTTCTTCTATTTAACTCTCGCATGAATCACCGCCGTTCACCGAAACAAAACGATATTTTTCACATTTTCATGCAAGAACTCTCGCAAACATTTAACGAATCGTTTAATATTTAAATACCAGAATTCACTCGTTTTTAACAATTGAACAATTTTCAAAGCTTCGATAAAAATATTAATTTTTATTTACAATTTATTCAGCAAAAAACAATTTTATAAATAAATAATTAATCAGTGAATTTCAAATCTCAATTCAATAAGAAGACCATATTTTTATATTTAAATTAAATTTGAATTCTTAGAAAATCAGAAGACGAACCATAAAATAACACCACCATTATCATTAAAGTCTTAAAATATTCATTTTAAATAATCGTGCTCGTACAATTTTAATGCATTATTTATTACAAAAGAAATCACATTTCCTTTTTTAATTCATGATTTTCATTGAACTCTTATGTAAAGAATTTCTATCGTTTCTTTAATAATGCGCTATTTATACTATGTATAACGACGATACTAACTAAAAAGTAATGTGAATCAACTTATTATATAACTTATTTTTCTGAAGAATCAACTTAATTTTAAGTTAATTTCTTTCAAGGTCTGAATTAATTACGGCATTTGCTTTACCTCTTTGAGGGGTGATGGGATACGCATTTTACCACATTTTGAACATGTCCATTATTATAATTTTGTAGAACATGTCTAGGAAAGAAACATTTTGGTTGGTACCATCCAATGGTGATTCAGTAAACAAACTCAGTTGTTAAGGAATTTCTGGCCCTTAAATATTAACATAATGTTTATTAAGTCATAAAAACTGGATTTTTTTTTATTTTATTAAATTAGACATTTTTTTATGTTTTTTTTTAGGAGGTTATGGACTTCGCAGTCCAGCGTGTCCACCGTCAGATGAAATTCGTGATGATGGTTCGCCACCACCAGGACCTCCCTCGGGATTCCTACACCTGCAAAGAAGTCCCGCCTTTCATCACCTTAAAGACGGTTAGTATTCATGATAACTCCAAAAAAAAAACTATAGATCTTTCCGCCTGTTTATAAACAATGTAAATGTTCTAATTTTGTTTTTCTTTTTTATGAAATTGTAGGATATAAAAATACATGTCCGCCTGGAGGAGATTCGAGTAGTTACGGAGGAATGGACAGTCTGCAATCGTTAAACGAAGAACAGAACCATTTCTTAGCGAGCACAACACCACACCATTACCACGAAGAACACGAGTACCAATCTCTGGAGCCGGGACACCAGCCTCAGTCGTACTTGGAAAGTTCACCCGAATTTTACGCGGCCAACAATCTCCTTGAGACCAAATACAATCCGCACGCGTACGTCAAAAATTACGTTCGAGGTGAGTTCTTTAAACCTGCAAGAGCGTTGACCAAAAATGAATATCGTAGCATTCGATTTGATAGTTTTGTCATTGTTTCCAAAACCATATTCGGCGCCAGAGAAATCTGCTTTAGGCCAATGGATGAAAAATAATAATAATAAAAATAATAAAGGAAAAAAAAACGCGCAGAGTTGCGATGAATTTTAACTAGAGAGCGAACGCGGAGTTGAAGGACGTTTATTAATTATCCGTTTATAATCTCATTCTTTATGTAACCGCTCATTTACTACAGTCCATACAATTATTATACCAGCGGAATTATTTCGCAATAGATATAATCACGGCGTTCGTATACGAGATTACCTTATAATTTCGAAAAAAATATTATTATTTATTGTTTGGAGCAGATTTTTATCAAAAAAAATAAAGTTATTAATAATTAGAGGCGCATTCTGATGAAATTGTATTTTCTTTTCCAGGTGGTGGAAGGTATAACGATGGATATGGAGGCGACACTTATGGTTCACCCTACGATGGTACGCCTTTCCAGACGGTGCCCAGCGGTCCCAACGAGCAGTGGCCCCACAACCATGATATGGGTCTTGGTCATCCAGCGCACACGCATCCAGCGTTCCTCTCCGCCGGCATCCCAGGTCGCGATAACATGAACGCTCTGGGACCGGACACAAAACCTATGATCCAGAACGGCCTTATGGGCGGCTACTCTAGCAACACTTCAACAGGAACTCCCTGCTTTACAGGTAATTTCGCATACAACCATCCACACCACGTTTACTAAATTTTGAATTATGCAGGCTCCGGTCCGATCCAGCTGTGGCAGTTCCTGCTCGAACTCCTCACCGACAAAACCTGTCAGGCCTTCATTTCCTGGACCGGCGACGGCTGGGAATTCAAGCTGACCGACCCCGACGAGGTGGCGCGTCGCTGGGGAATTCGCAAGAACAAACCCAAAATGAATTACGAGAAGTTATCGCGCGGATTGCGGTACTATTACGACAAAAACATTATCCACAAGACTGCCGGAAAACGATACGTCTATCGTTTTGTTTGCGACCTGCAGACCCTTCTAGGGTAAGTTCATCTACATCTCATATTTCTTTCCATCACTTTTCAATTTGGGCTAAAGCCCATTCAACCCTGTGCTTATGATCATACTTATAATCTTGTTTCTTCTTTTAATTGCAGATATACACCCGAAGAATTGCACGCAATGGTAGATCTCAAACCGGAAAAGAAAGAAGACGACTGATAAGGAGATTGGTATTGAAATAACTCTCCTCATCGTAAACATAGAACAACTCTTTTTATATATATATATACATACACCCACAAAAAAAAACAACAAAATTCTGGTGTTCATCTTGAAATTAATAATATACAAAAATCTTGAATGTATAAATGATGATGCAGGCATTCGTTTTTCATTCACACAATCTGTTTTTCTTTTTATTTCAAACTCGTGTCTCTAATAACAAAAAAAAAACTACTTTTCAATCAAAGAAAATATATATTTAAAAGCAAGACTGCTAAGTTAATTTATCTGTTGCAATTAACATAATAAATAAAGTTATTGTTTGCTCAGCGCGAAAGAATACACTGAGAAGAAATATCAATTGAATATCTCTCTCTCTTTTTTTTATTTTTAATTATTATTTTGTTTTATGTAAAAAGTTAAATGCTCTCTCGATGATATATAAGTTAGAAGTGAGGGTAATATTTTATTTTTTTTTAATTATTATTTTCTTTCTTTAAATTATTACACACCTACTATATAATATATCATTATTGTGATAAGCCTTAAATCAGATAGTATATGTTTTATATATTTTCAAATATTATGGGGTAATTTTCTATGGTAAGTATATGATTAACTCTTAAATGAATGTGAAAAAAAAATTAAATCCTTTTCCCCCTTTTTTTTTTAAACGATACCCCAATTTGTTACGTATTTTTATACTGTACATTTCTTACTCATATATTTTAAAAAGTAAAATGAAAAATTAAACAAAAAATACTTGCGTTATGCATCCTGTATTTTGAATAGAATAAACAAAAAAATGTGGTTATTAAAATGTTAGATTTGTATAAAAAAAAAATAATAATAATTGTTTGCTGAAAATATAGAGAAATTATTGACAATATTATAAATAAAAAAGAATAGATGAAAGTGAAGCTAAATGAGAAATACGTTGCGTCGCCTTGCAATACGATTTAATTATTGTTTATATAATATATATTATATTTTTTATATTTACTTCGACAGTTGATGATGAAAATTTGATGCAGAAAAATGTTTCGTTTTTTTTTTTTGAAAAAGAGAGTATCTAAGAAAAAAAAAATATGCAAAACAAACACAAACAGTTTCGTTTTATTGTTTCTTATTATGGTCTCAATGTTCTAATTAATAAGTTATTATCACAGCACTGGAGATATAGCTGCTCCTGTTTAAGGGAGATCGTCGCTGTATGTATTTAATGTGTTATTATTCATACGTATAAAAAAATTATGTATTAAATAAAAATGTTTCAATAAATAATACTGGTTGTACCCATTATTAATTAATTATGTGATCTTATGTATTCAACTTGATTTTAATAACAGTACTTACTATACATTAAAACCTACCTACAATCCAAATACACTAATGAAACAATCAAATGATTACTTGGGAATACACAAACATATATTATTATTTTGAGCAACAAATCATTATATACAACTGGAAAATTTCAATAAATCGTAAATAGATGCAGTGGAACCTCGCTTAACGAGTTTAATCCGTTCTAAAATTTCCGGATTTTTACTCGTATAGTGAAACATATTCAAAAACACACATAATGTGTACACAAGTTTTAAAAATGATGTAGCTGGCGCGCAATCCGGGACTTCTCTTCTTGTCACTCGTTATGCGAAACGTCGCTCGTTAAGCGAGTCATTTTGTTCGTTAAAAGAAATGCTCGTTAAGCGAGGTTCCACTGTATTTATAATTTTAAAGTCTACATTAAGTTTAAATAAACATTATAATAAAGAGTTCAATTCTTCAGGACAACAGATTCCATGTGTAAATTGTAAAAAAAGCTAATAGAATTGATGAAGAGACTGGTGAGAACAGATTGAACATTTAAACTATTTTTATTGGTCTACGCAAAGAGTGAGTTTCAAATACTAAATAAGAGCTCGTTATGCGAGGTGCTCGTTAAATGAGGTTCTACTGTATTTATAATTTTAAAGTCTACATTAAGTTTAAATAAAAATTAATAAATAGTTCAATTCTTCAGGACAACAGTTTCCATGTGTAAACTCTAAATAAAAGCTAATAGAATTGTTGAAGAGACTGTTGACAACTGATTTGAACGTTTAAACTATCTTTATTGGTCTACGCAAAGAGTGAGCTTCTAATACTAAATAAGAGCTCGTTATGCAAAGTGCTCGTTAAGTGAGGTTTCATTGTATTTATAATTTTAAAGTCTACATTAAGTTAAAATAAACATTAATGAAGAGTTCAATTCTTCAGGACAACAGATTCCATGTGTAAATTGTAAAAAAAAAGGCTAATAGAATTGTTGAAGAGACTGATGACAACAGATTTGAAAGTTTAAACTAACTTTATTGATCTACGCAAAGAGTGAGTTTCAAATACTAAATAAGAGCTCGTTATGCGAGGTGCTCGTTAAGCGAAGTTTCACTGTATTTATAATTTTAAAGTCTACATTAAGTTTAAATAAACGTTAATAAAGAGTTTAATTCTTTAGGACAACAGATTCCATGTTTAAATTGTAATAAAAAGCTAACAGAATTGATAAAGAGACTGACGACAACTGATTTGAACATTTAAACTATCTTTATTGGTCTACGCAAAGAGTGAGTTTCAAATACTAAATAAGAGCTCGTTAAGCGAAGGTTTACTGTATTTATAATTTTAAAGTCTACATTAAGTTTAAATAAACATTAATAAAGAGTTCAATTCTTCAGGACAACAGATTTCATGTGTAAATTGTAAAAAAAAGGCTAATAGAATTGAAGAGACTGATGACAACTGATTTGAACGTTTAAACTATCTTTATTGGTCTACGCAAAGAGTGAGTTTCGAATACTAGATAAGAGAGTAACAAAAACTTAGTTGCAGCTGCGAATCATATCGTCAAACGCAAAAAAGAAGGATTGGCAACAAGCGGCTTTTTCGTTCTTAACAATTTTATTGGTCCTTTCGATCGGGCCGGCCCACAAAAATGATTGGTGGATCATCACTAAATTTTTTTTGCTAACGAGCATACAGTTTCTTTTATCCAAATCTAAACCAAGCGACAAATGGGCTCAAAAATTTCAAATCTAATGAGTAACTTGCTCAGTATTTGACGTGTAGCATATAGTAGAACCTGTTTTTGTGCGGTCCTTTTTTATGCGATTTTTTTTTATGCGGTATATGAAATCCAAAAAAAAAATCCAGCGGCGTTGGTACCATTGTAATGTTTCCTATCAGTGTGCATATGTACAACCAGCTCAAAGGATCGATTATGAACCAATTCATCACAAGAAGATGCGCGTTTTGAATGATCACGAGTAGTAGTGAATTATATTTGCATAAACCTTAAAAGTTAACTTTATTCAAAGTTTTCAAGTTACGATATTTGAACTTTCATTTCGAAACGATTCAATGATTGAAGTTCCAATTGTAAAAATTAAAAAAAAAAGTTTATTCCAGTTTAACTGTAAATTACGGTTAAATGACAAATGATATAATTATGTGTAGCATACAGTAGAACCTGTGCGGTTCTTTTTTATGCGATTTTTTTGTACGGTTTTTTTTATACGGTATATGAAATCCAAACAAATTCCAGCGGCGATTTTGAACCAATTCAGCACAAGAAGATGCGCGTTTGAATGATCACGAGTAGTAGTGAATTATATTAGCATAAACCTTAAAAGTTAACTTTATTCAAAGTTCTCAAGTTATGATATTTGAACTTTATTTTAGAAACGATTCAATGATTGAAGTTCCAATTGAATTGGATAAGCTTAAGTTGACAAAAGTATATTGGAGTTATATGATAATTCAAATAATTCATTTCTTTTGAAGCATTTTACGAATTGATACAACCTCGCATAGTCCTGGTAATCGCAAATTTGAAACGCACAAGAACTCATTTTTTTAGAAAGATTAATTAAAATTATCTAGAAACAGATAAGATATGCCATCTATAGATTTACTAGAAAATAATCTATACACATTTCATAAATTACTACAGAACTTTCAGTTTTAATGTTACGTTTCTGAACCTGGGTGAAAGATGTCGGGCTTCCGAAATGCTTACTTTATCGATTAGGGGTAGTTTTGACTACAGAATTCTCCAAATATTGATAAATTTAAGTTAGAATTATATACTTATACTCAATACACAAAACGTGATGTGAATTAGGGCTTCTAATTGTTAGACACAAAAGAAGAAGAAAGATATAAAATACATGTTTATTGTATCACATCTAAGCATTCTCTCATTCCTGGTTAGTTATCATTATGTAGGCATTAAAAAATCTCATAAAACCCTATAAATCAACTTTTCTAACAGAAATTTGGTACAATTTAATATTTTAAGAGTAATATTATTATATAATATTTTAATAGATATATTTTTTTGGATCATTCACATTAGATTTGTTACAATTAAGTTCAAATAAACATGCAGATTAAGGATTTCGTCAAATCCTTAAGAACTAAAATTCTGTTTTAGTACAAAGTTGAGATCTTTATGATGAACATAAAAGAATATAAAATAAGCTATAACAAATAACATAATATACTTAAATGTATTATTGTTATAAGTAAAAAATCTTTTTGATTGAAGTTCACGATTTCATATTTTAAATAAAATATTGATATGTAAGATTAATAACAAATGATAATTAGTAAAATTAACATAATGCATACGGCTGAATATTAAGAATCTAATTAGACATGTATATAGAGTACTAGTGTTATGGAAGTTGCATACCATACAGGTACGTTATATGAATATACTGAAGCATTTCAGAAAGATGCATATTTCTGTTCCGATTTATAGAAATTACTTCTAATTTCTTTGTTTAGATTTGAGAAATTACTTGAAATCAAAAATATATTAATTATTTGAATAATTAAACTAAATTAATGTTAAAAATAAGTGAGAAAAATGAAGGAAATTAGCAGAATTTAATACACTTAATAGAAATGATTAATTTTTAAGTGTGAGATGAATAAAATATTCGAAATTTATAGATTTATAGAGTTTTTTAATTTATTTCCAATTATAGATTTATTTTCTTTAATTAACTTATTCTGGGAATTATTAATTAATATTTATATAGTATTAATACACGAAACAAAGAAAATGCGCTCTTGTCATGATTAATAAGTACACATTATACAGACACGTATGCAATTTTAGATGCAAATAAATATAATTTAATAAACGGAAACTGAGAGACGTATGACAAACGTTAATCCATTAAGTTTAGACAGAGTTACGTGGGTGGGAGAAGATAAAGGATTTTAAACTATGCGTAACTTGGAAGATTTCTCGAAACATTCTAATACGAACGAGCAACACCGAAATGTAAATGTGAATGTCTCGCATATCTGATACGCAAGAAATTGCGTGTGTTAAAACTGGACAATTTTATAAATAGTTTCAGTCTGCATTTGCAAATTACATAATTATTTATTTTAATAGATATAATTTTTTGGATAATTCGCATTAGATTTGTTAAAATGTTAAAAGAGTGATTAGGTAGCTTTAATTTGGTTGCTCGATAATTAATTTGTGGCCCATACTTTTCGAGGTATAAGTAAAAATGTAAAAACTTAAAAAATATATTTATTCCATTTTAACAGTGAATTACGGCTAAATGACAAATGATATAATTATACCAATAAATACGTTTTAAAGAGTGATTATTTAGTTTTCATTTGGTTGCTCAATAATGAATTTGTCTCCCATACCTTTCGAAGTATAAGCAAAAATGTAAAAACTTAAAAAATAGATTTAAACCATTTTAATAGTGAATTACGGCTAAATGACAAATGATATTATTATAATAATAAATATGTGTTAAAGAGTGATTATTTAGCTTTAATTTGGTTGCTCGATAATGAATTTGTGGCCCATACCTTTCTAGGTATAAGAAAAAATGTAAAAACTTAAAAAATAGATTTAAACCATTTTAACAGTGAATTACGGATAAATGACAAATGATATAATTTTACTAATGAATAGGTGTTAAAGAGTGATTATTTAGCTTTAATTTGGTTGCTTGATAATTAATTTCTGGCCCATACTTTTCGAGATATAAGCAAAAATGTTAAAATTAAAAAAAAAATGTTTATTCCAGTTTAACAGTGAATTACGGTTAAATGACAAATGATATAATTATACCAATAAATACGTTTCAAAAAGTGATTAATTAGCTTTAATGTTATTGCTTATTAATGAATTTATCACTCATACTTTTCAAGATATAATGTAAAAAACACTGCTTTGTACTTATGAGAAATTATTAATACCGTTAAATATGTTATTTATTTTTACACTCTTATTTGATAAAAGATCATCCTTAATTCAATTCTAAATCTAAATTAAGGCTAAATTATGAAAGATACAATAATTCCACTATACACTTTCTAGAGAGTGAATATTTAGCATTAATTTGTTACCTCAGTAATGAATTTATCGTACATACTTTTCGAGATATAAGCAAAAAACAAACAAATGTAACAATTATGCCAATACATACGTTTTAAAGAGTGATTATTTCGCTTTAATTGTATTGCTTATTAATGAATTTATCACTCATACTTTTCGAGATATAATGTAAAAAATACTGCTTTGTAGCTATGAGAAATTATTAATAATGTTACTTATTTTTGCCACCCTTCTTTTGTAAAATATGTCTATAAATAAATATCATACCTAATTCAATTCTAAATCCGTACCTTTATAAAATGTATTGTTTTCTTGAAAGGTTAAAGGCGAGACGGAAAGTAAACTCTTGTCTGCTTGTATAAATAAAGTCCGTTTACGAAAAAGGAAAGAAATGAGCTAAAAGGTATTAGATTTATTTTAGCTCAGTAAAAGGTCAAGTAACAACCATAATAAGTTTAAACCTATTTATAGAGAGCGCAGAGAAGAGGCCCAGCATCGTCACTTAGTACAAGATTTATCTAATAATCACGGGCCAGTACAAATTAGCTCTAAGAGCAGCCCTTGTTTACAGATAGATGCACCACGCATAGAGCATAGAGGCATATTCCAAATATCGAGCATTCTTAACAATTAGGGAACCGTGGCACTGACAAATATAGATCCAGACGTGAGAGTATAGAGAGGTAAACTCTATAGTTACTTTGGCTCCAGTCGCTTGCTGCACTTCTCTAAGAATAAATCGAGTTATATGTCTTATAATAGAGTGTTTTGTGTGGTGTAAATATTCAAAAATGACACGGCTCACCGTGGCCATCAGGGTTAGACCATTGTCCGACAGGTAAGTCCAACGCAGACAATAATATACTTGAATTTTAATGCTCGATGCACGAGACGTGTGCCTCCGGCCACGGCGAAACGTATGTACGGAGAGACATTAAATCAGGTTAATGTCAACTTCACAAGACTGAAGTTATTTTCAATGAATGTCAGCTAAGTACTATTATTACAAAATCAACGTTCTCAATTCAGATATTTCATTTCACACACAACACGCAAATAATTCAGTTCAATACGATTATATTCATTCACACGCATTAAATTATTAATTTACTTAAATTTATTTTGAACTTTTAAACATACTAATTTAATAATATTGATTTTGAAAAGCTTCATTTAAAAAAAAACTGTTTTCATTATCATCCATTTCACAGAAAATCAATACTATTTAGGACCAAAAATCACATATTTTTACATTAACATAATTATTTGAGTAATTGCTTAATTCGTATATTTTTCACATATAATAAATATTGATATTGGATAAGTAAAATAATAATAAAAATACAAAGATTTATTGTATTTAAATAGAGATTTCCATTGATTTATATTAACAAATACTAACGTTAACACTTTACAAAACGTTTACATTTATAACTACAAATGTTACCTGCATGTACGCTATTATAAATGCTTGTTTTCGAGCTTTATTTACGTGCTTGGATGATTCACAGCAGATTTCATCGGTTGTCCTCGAAATGAACTAAATATAATCTATAATAACCTGAGCTTTCTATGAACTAGATATCAAAATATATAACATTTTCAAAATTAATTTTCATTTACACCAAATTATGGACAATAAAAATTTGTTAATTAATATTCGTTTTCATCTTCTATAAATGTATTTTAGTAAATTATAAGAAAATAAATTATTAATTCAATACTCAATATTGTTTCCAAAAAATAATGCTGTTATGAATAAGTAATTGATTGAAAAATTAATAAAAATAAATTTTCATAAAATAATTGAGAATTAGATAATTTTTATCAAATTTTAATAATTAATCAAGATTTATTAGATTTGAAAGAAAAGCGAGATTAATTATCATATTTTATCATAAAGAGAATATAATTAAATGCAATTAAATATAATGATAACAAAAAAAATAATTTGTTGTTTTTGTTGAGGAACTCCGAAAAAGCATGCATAGTTTGCGAGTGTATAGGTTGGTTGGTGAAAGGCGCATTTCTGGTTATACAAAAAAAAATCACGTTGGCGTCTAAAAATAAGGTTCTATAAATAATGCAGAAGTTATTTGAGCGAAGAAATGTCAATTGAAAAATATTCTCTCTAAAAAACGGAAATATTGCACGCTTTTCCACTAAATACATTTAAATTTACTCGAATTACTGCAATTTCAATTATAATTACAAAAGGTTTTTTGTTGTTGTGGAAGAGCTAGAGAGAAAAGCGTGGCAGGAAAGCGCGCGCGACATGCATGAAAACAAGAGATGCTGTGCCCGAGGAGCAGTGACTTTTTGCACCGGGGAGTTTCTTAATATAGACGCACGTTTCCGTTCACTAATGTTTCTAAATATTTCACTTCTGATTTCTTTGTTTATCGAGATAATATTTTCACTTCCTTCAATCATCTGAACGTTCCTGCAACGACCATATATATAATAATTAAAGTATATGAGCAAACATTATATTTATATTTATATATATACGTAGTTTGGATTATTTTTAACCATCAGGAAGTCATTAATATATTTATAATTTAATGTTAAAGTAATGCTCGATTAAACTCCTTTAATACGTAATTAGAACATTTATTTTTAATGAAAATAGAACGCATTAAAAAATTAATTACATTTAAAATGAGATTTTCTTCAAATTTAGAATCGGATAAAAAAAAGCAACGAAAATTGTAGCACAGTATACAGTAAATCTAATCCAAAATAGTTGTTGTTTTTGGTATACTTTGAGCAAACGCAAAGCTTTCTCATGATCAAATGTTCGTACAAAATGGTGAATACATTGCCTTCTGACAACTTCAGAGTGTGAACTATCTCACGCAACTTCAATTTTCGATCGGACTTTTATGTTTTCTGAAATAATTGTCGAATTTGGGTGACCATAGCGTTCAACATCATTTGCGTCTGTACGATCACGTTTAAAACCAGCAAACAACTTCTCTACCATTTGTTTTGAGACGGAGAAGACATCAAAAAGCAATGATTTATCGACACACGAAATTCAGATTTTTCCATTGTTTTGAAAATTACAACTAAACGTCAGATTGCCATGAAATTTTGACAGGCGTCATCTGAAGGTTGGTGCTTCCTAAAAATCACATGGATTTGGCGCCATCTATATGTCATCATATATAAAGAAAAAATTTCTTTTATTAATTGCGAGTTATGATTTACTAATTTCTTTTTCATCAATGACTCAAAGTTAGTTGATATGATGATAATTTTACTGAAATTTGTATTTTTTTTTTTGTAATTCAACAAGAATACTCAGCACACTCTATATTTATATAAGTGGAGTATTGTATTTAGGTAGTTGAAAACAAGAGGAATGTAGGACGATATATTTATTTCCATGTTTATTTCTGCTCAAATATGTAGGTTGAATGCACTATTTGAACATATTTATAATTAAAATATAATTAATAACGCATCTATTAATTAAGTAATTGAAGTAATCATACATTATCATAAATTACAAAAAATATACAGATATGAAAGGTAAACACAAATAAATACATTTTTTTTTATATAATTCCAATCATGAAAACTGCAAATGCTGACAGAATTTTCAATTGAATATGTTTTTAATGTCTTTTTCTAAACAATTATGTAATCATAATTCGAAATAATTATATAATGATTAAATGTGTTTTATTTTGAAAAAAGAAGTTAATTGAAAACATCTATTATGCAGATGACTGTGCAAATAAACAGATCGCTCATTGAACCGTCTCTGCTTGCTATCTTGTTTCTAATTATAGTAAGAAAACTGGTACAGAAACTAGTTAAATAAATCCTGTAATATCCGAGAATATAAATACAGTTTAATATATAGAGAATTACTAAAAAAATGATATTACTTGATTTTTTAATATAATATAATTATACATTGTCTAATTGATGCAATAACTCTAATAGTTTACAATAAGAAACGATTTTTTACTTAAAGTAAAAAAATTGAAATTAAATAAAATTATGTATGCAAAAAATTTTCATTACTTGTATGTAAAATTAGTTAACTAATAATTTGTATAGACCAGCATTCTTTAACCTTTTTTCCGTACCAACTACCAACTACCAACATTTTATTGTTTATAACATATTTTTTTTGACATAAAAGTGTATTTTGAAGCAATGACGTAAGGTGACAGCTGTCATTTTGCGACCGAATATTTCTACTCAACATTTTTTGCTTGTACTTGCATTACGACTCAATTGTTTATAACATACAGTTTTTTGTCGTAAGATGACAGCTGTCATTTTGTGACCGAATATTTTACCTCAACATTTGTTGCTTGTACTTGCATTACGACTCAATTGTTTATAACATACTGTTTTTGACGCTATGACGTGAGATGACAGCTGTCATTTTGTGACCGAATATTTTGACTCAACATTTTTTGCTTGTACTTGCATTACGACTCAATTGTTTATAACATACAGTTTTTTGACGCTATGACGTAAGGTGACAGCTGTCACCCAATACCAATCACTGATATACAATTATCTATAAATTGTACTTCTTCATTTCAGAGAAAATATTACAAAATCTGTATCCATAGTTTCCGTTGAGAATGGCAAGACGATTTCCGTTACTAATATTAAGGTATTTATCAAGAAAAAATGTTATAAAGTTACTTCTCGACATACGACAGAATTCCCTTTTATAACTTCGGAAATAGGAATAAAAAATTACTTGAGGAATATATTTAACAAAAACTATAAAAAATTGATAATTTTTTTTTCATCGTAAGTTCAAATGATCGTAAGTCGAGAAATCTCTATAAATATTGCATTTTTTTTTCAATTAAAAATTATGTTTAATTACTTAAAGCCTTAAAGGTTTAAACTACCAGTAAAATTTGAGTGGAAAAGCAGTAAACCTTTAATTAAATTAGAACGAATTAAGTTTTAATGGGAATCAATTAAAATTCTAGTGTGTCTCTTGAAGATATCCAGCATTACATTTATTGTATGATAAATGAGGCGGGTGGATTTTTGCAAAGTTTAAATTATCCCTCTCTAAATTATAATAAATTTTCTGTATAAATAGTCGGTAAGCGCACGAGCGTCACGAATTTCTGTGATTTAAAGCGCGTTCACGTTACTTTGTAATTTGACATACGTGTGTCTGTCTGTCTCTACTCTCTTTGATCTAATTCTGTATATGCAGGTACCCGAACAGAACGCAGGAGACAGCAGGGAGAGAGTACGAAGATTTACCTTCGACTACTGCTTTGATTCCATTTCTACACAGGAAGATGTAAGTGATAAGTATTTATTTTGAAATATACACATAAAATATATATTTTTTCACAATACTCATAACTCATAAACATGATTATTGTATTGAAATTAAAAAAAAAAAACATATCAAACGTAATTAGTTCAAATACTAAATAAGTTTTAGTTGTCATCTTCTTATTATCTAATCATTAATAATAATGAGACATTCTTAAGTTAATTGATTTTAAAAGCAATTAATTATAAAATAAATATATTATAATAAATATGAAATAAAGTAAATTCAGGTGGCGGAAAGACTAAGGTCAATAGCCCTTTTGTATTTGTATGAAATAAATTATAGTAAACATAAGTTTTCTTTACCTGTCTCTAATTATCATATAAATATATTACCTTATATACTTAAGAAGTACAACATTTTGATCCTATCAGTTGAATCAGACTGAATTAAGATAATAATATTGCAAAAACAGATATACTTTTCTTCTATGAATTAATTCGTTCCGAGTGTGTACAGTGTAACTTCTCGACTTACGTACGCAACGTAGGACGTAAGTCGAGTTTTATACAAAAGAAATATATATAATTGGAAAATATAATTATCATAATGATTGGTTTTTATTTCTGATTGTTAATTGCAAACTACATATAGGTAAATAATTGTATATAAAACTGTAAATTTTCGTAAGTTGTGGTGATCATAAATTGAGAAGTTCTCAACTTATGTGTCGTGACCCAATATTGAGTTACGTTAAATGTTTAATGTATCTTGAAATGACAGCTGTCAATTTGCATCAAAATGTCAAATAAAATTGTATTATGAACAATGGAATTGCAGTCCAATGACAATTTGTTGTTTTGTCGTAAGTGGGAATTGTCGTAAGTCGAGGTGATCATAAATCGACAAATTATAGCAGCGGTCCTCAATCTGTGAGTAGCGACTCAATATTTGATTGCGTCAACGGTTTAATGGATCTCTAAATGACAGCTGTCTATTTGCATCAAAATGTCATATAAAGTTATATTATAAACAATGGAATTGCAGTCCAATGACAATTTGTTGTTTTGTCGTAAGTGCGAATAGTCGTAAGTCGAGGTGATCATAATTCGAATAATTATAGCAGCAGTTCTCAATCTATGAGTAGCGACCCAATATTTGGTTGCGTCAACGGTTTAATGGAGCTCTAAATGACAGCTGTCACTTTGCATCAAAATGTCATATAAAATTGTATTATGAACAATGGAATTGCAGACCATTGACAATTTATTGTTTTGTCTTAAGTGCGAATAGTCGTAAGTCGAGATAATCATAAATCCAGAAGTTATAGCAGCAGTTCTCAACCTATAAGTAGCGACCCAATATTTGGTTGTGTCAACGGTTTAATGGATCTCTAAATGACAGCTGTCATTTTACATCAAAATGTCATATGAAATTATATTATAAACAATGGAATTGCAGTCCAATGACATACAAATATATTGGGCCTAGCAAAAAAGGCTGAGTTATAGTATTCCTTAAAAATATACAATAGATTCAAGCATTCAACAATATTTTTCTTTTTCAACTACGTTTAAGTAAATAATTATATACAACAATCTGTTGTTTTGTCGTAAGTACGAATAGTAATCGAGAAATTATATCAGCAGTTCTTTGGTTGACAGCTGTCACAATGCATCAAAACATTAAAAATTTTATTATAACAGCAATAGATTCAAACATTCAACCAATATCCTTCCTCTTAATATATTGTTTTAAAATTCCCCTACTTATATACAAAACTGTACAAAAATCATTTGTTTCGTCGTAAATGCGAATAGTCGTAAGTCGAGGTGATCATAAATCGAGATGGTATTGAAGCGGTTCTCAACATATAAATAGTGAAACAATATTTAGTTGTATCAAATATTTCATGTGTCTCAAAGTGACAGCTGTCACCTTGCATCAAAACGTCAAAAGAAAATTATTCATTGCAGTCCAATGACATACATATTGGGTCGGGCAGCAATAAAAAGGTTGAGAAACGCTGAGTTATAATATTCATTAAAATATACAATAGATTCTTACATTCAACCAATGACACAACTCCTCTTAATATTTGTTGTTTCTTTTCCATTAAAAGCTAAACATTTTTGACAGAATAGTCAATATATGACTATGGATATAATATTTTAGATTTATATTTCTTTGTTTTTTTTTTGTTGTAGGTATTCCAAAATATCGGAAAAGAAATTGGTAAGGCGATCAAAAAGAGATTCCATTCGTGCGTATTGGCGTACGGGCAAAGTTCAACTGGAAAAACGCACACCATGATAGGTGATGAGGATGACGTGGGCCTGGCACCGCGTCTATGCGAAACTTTTTTCGATTATTTGGCGGAAACTGCCGTTGGAAGTGAAACGCAGAATATGTCTGCCACAGTTAGGTTTGTATAATCACACACAACTATTTCATTTTTTTAGTATACTAAAATGATATAACATATTTAAAACATTTGAAAACAAAGATAACATTTTAAGTAATTAGCTACATAAAATTACCTAAAAATATTGATATTATGAAAAAATACAAAATAAAATTTGAAATCTTCAAATTTTTAGAATTACTTTCTCAATTTTTTTCTAAAGATAATAATAAAAAATCTTTATTAGTCACCAATTATAATCAAAGGGCTATCGACCTAAGTCTTTTCGCCCTTTCTAAAGATTTTCTCAATTACTTGGATATATAAAGCTACTATTCGATAAGATATACAAATAGTTCTATATTTTAACATAATAATTGTTGAAAAACAAATATAATTTTTGTTGTAAAAAAAACTATTCAGCTGCATTTCCTGAAAAATTTCTTCAAAAAAATTATCACAAAATTTATTTATTACTTGATTACATCCAAATCAATTATGAAAATTGGAAATATCTTTGATAAATAGAAAAAAAAAACTATTTATAAATTCGATAATCACAGGTTACTTTTACATAAATATGTAGAAGAAAAAAAAATTAAAAACTTAATTTCGTTCCATTTCGAGAATCCTTCTATTTTTAAGTGATGCTTAGACATCTCGAGTTGTAAAACGCAGCTTGTTTAGACATCGTTGAGCCCTTCGAATGTTTTTTTTCTTCAAAATTTATTTATAGAACGAGAGGACAAAAAACTTAATGTTGTTTCACATAATACAAATAGCAGGTAAATACAACCCAGGTGATTATTGTTAAAACATCGTTACTACAGCCCAGGGTAAAACGATGTTCTTCGAACAGGAAAACAAAAAAGAATACCTAAAGTAACTTTATTTCATTATTATGAAACTAATATAAATTCTCTCGAAAAAGGTACATTTTCAAGATAATTCGTATATTTTTTATCAATGAAAATTAACAAGAATGAAATTTTCTACAGTTATTTTTGTAATAGTTTTATTATTTGTTAACCCTTTGTCGTCTGATGGTACTTATTATAAGTAGCGGCACATTTATTTCATTATTTAAGTTATTGGAAACACCCAATAATACTTGTCACTTCTATTTAGGTATTATGTTGTAAAAAATGAAAAGTTTTACAGCAGAATACCATGAAAAAAGTTTATAAAATAATATTGTTACTAAATATTTATATGAATTAATCTTATACGATCTAAACTTGAAATTAATTGACTTTATCAAAAAGTAAAACATATTTTTGCATTGAAAATATTGCTGAAATTTAATAAAAAAATTATAGGCAACTTAATTTTAATGTGTTTCACAAGAAATTCAAAGAATATTTTTTTTTTAATTTTAACTATGTTTAAGTAATAAAGGGTTAATTTGTGCGAACTGAAAACTTTCTACTCCTTTTTTTTTCATTATTTTTGTTATTTACGTATCAAATTCCATAACTAATGCTAATAATCACCGCCTGAAATCGGATTTTATCATCAGTTCAGATGCCGTGTATTCTCACACTTTACATGCAAGGACACGCGTATAATGTAATTATTATCGATCCAGGATCATCCCAAAACTCAATCTCGGGTGAACGAAACTTGGGCAAATCGAGAGAATCTCAGTTTATTGGAAACTTTACCAATTCAATTCTAAAAATAACAATCCACGAGCATCGCAAACCCTTGAAACACTTGACATAAAAACACACAAATATAAACGTTTTTTAATTACGGTTTGCAAACACAATAGTTTTTGCACAAAAAAAATAAATCAAATTGTAGGGTAATTGTACGGAAAACGAACGACACGAAATTTGTTTCAAATTGCTTTGTGCTGAAGAAACGCTACGAAATTGATTTCAATTGCAAAGAGAGAAAAAAACAATATTTGCGAGTGTTATGTAAAACTGTTCCACCCGGTTGTCATATTGAAGCAGTTTCGTGCTGAGGAACATAATACACAGTGTGCCGCGAACACCACTATATAACCCTTCTGCTCCTGCAACTTTCCAACAAGTTTTAAAGGATTATTCCGCAGTTCTGTTTGTATTCATTCGCGATTCGGTGTTGATGGTGGCAGTTCGAGACACGCAACAGCATTTCCAACATACCACTTTTTCCATGCTTTTTTCTTGTTTTGTTCCCTTCAACAAATTTTATCAGAAAACTCAATTAGTACGAAACTTTCTGCAGTGAATTGAAATATAATACGGTGCTTAATTATATTTTGTTTTTGGTTGTTTGTTTATTTATTTTTTTTAATCTATTTCAGTTACTTGGAGATTTACAATGAAAAAGTTAAGGATTTATTAAACGTTCAGTGCGGTCGTGACGATAGTGTTTCATTGAAAGTCAGAGAACATCCGAAGAAAGGACCTTATGTGCAAGGTGAGTCAACAATCAATATTATATAACAATACAAATGCTTATTCCACTAACAACATTCATTTATTTTCATCCAAACATTCAACTTATGCAGTGAATTCTAGATATATGAACAACAGTTGTATTAAATTGTAATACTAGTAGTAATTATTAAAGCTTTTTCGTATATTCTAGAACAAAAAATCCAATTTGTTTTTTTAGTTAAACTTTTTCTATAAGCAATTCGAAACATTCAAATTATGCAGTGAATTTTCGATATATTAACAACATTTGTATTAAATTGTAATACTAATAATAAGAATCAAAGCTTTTTCTTAAATTCTACAAAAAAATAATCCAATTTGTTGTGTTAGTTCACATTTTTCCATAAACATTTTTTCTTTTTTGGAGAAGTCGTAACATTCAAATTATGTAGTGAATTCTTGAAATATGAATAAAATTTATATTAAATTGTAATACTAAAGTAATTATTCAAGCTTTTTCAAAGTCTACAAAAAAACAATCCAATTTCTTATTTTACTTAACATTTTTCCATAAACAATTTTTATTTTGAAGAAAATTCACATTCTTCAATTTTTCGTTATAAACTTCAAACATTTACGTAATACATGATGCAATTTATCTTACAATTTATATTTACACGCTAATAGTGATAATCATACTCGTTTTGATTGCGCAAGTTAAGAAAAAGTGTTACACTTCACACCAATCTAATTGCATAACGAAATGACTAACAATAGCATTGTTATATTATGAGGTGAATTCCCATTCATTAATAATAAACAATACGGATTGGCAATAATCTTATTTCTTTCCTGTTTCCTATTTAAGAAAGAAAAAACTATCTTGTAAGCATGAATATTCTATTATTTTATAAAATTAGAGAAAAAAAAACATCTGATTAGTAATGAAAGTAAAAGTTGAGTTTGAATTTTTAGAATACATTAATAATATTTCAAGCTTTCACTATAGTGAATCCGGATTGATCGAATCCGCACTATGCGAGGTATTATTGTACTTTCATTAATTATGGATTGTTGTATAATAGGTTTTTTTTATAGGTGAATATTTATCAACATCTAAAATATAATTTTATTGTTATTTTTCATAAATATTAAGAAGAAAGATTCGTTGTTTTTTAATTAAGGAAAAATATGAATTTCAACAAGATATTCACGTTATAAAAAAAATCTCGACTATTCATCATCATAACTAAAGTATTCTTTATAATTTACTCTTATTACATTGATAATAAATTTCAACAATAAAATAATATTTGAGAGTTTTGTACATAATTTGGAACAAGAAACAAATAATTAGAAGTTTTTTTCATCTAAAATTTCCAACATTTAAGATAAGATTCTTCTATCAAAAAAATCATCAGTCCATAATAGATTTTTTGCAAATATATATTTTGAAACGCAACCTTCCATTATGCATTGAATCTGGTTAAGATATAACAGTTTTGCACTACAAAAGATTTTCTAGGAACGTAACTAACGTGATTTACAGGTATTCCTACCTGTGTTTTTATCTTGGTTGAATACTGCTAGGATTGATGATACTCACCTTTTTCCAACTTCAGGACTATACGGCTTAATAATCTCTTAATCGAAGAATATTTAGTTAGATGACAATGATAGTGTGTGTCTACAAAGATTGAATTAAGAAAAAAAATGAAAATAAAATTGACATTCTCGTAATCGTAGAATATCAATATGTCATGTGTCACTTTTGTAATTAAAAAATCTCATGATTAATTTCCAATTGGAAATGATGGAAAACTACTACTATAATTCGAATATGAACTAAAAGATTTAATACACTACATATTAATTAGAAAACAAATGTCTTAACAAAACACATGCACTATAAACATTGATTTGTAAAAAAAAAAAGCAAAACCAAATAATTTCCAATTGAAAAACAGAAATTTTAGCATTCAAATTTGATGAAATTCATTTTAGATGAATTTAGAAACTATATTGAATATTGAAGAGAATTCAATCACCTTAAACATAAGCCTTTTCACCAAATTGTGTCGTATTGTGTATTATTTCATTGATTAGGTAATTTATTCCCTTTTCAGGTTTAACAGAGAGAACAGTGGCGGATACGGCCGAATTACTAACGTGCTTACAGATTGGCAACTCGAATCGTCGAACTGCATCAACGAACATAAATCCTAGATCCAGCCGGAGCCATTCCGTATTTACAATTACATGCTTTGGAGGCGTGAAACTGAGATTAGTGGATTTGGCAGGGAGCGAACGTGCCGGAAGTCGTTCGCATACAACGCCGTTATTCCGGGAGGGCGCCAACATTAATAAGAGCCTCGTGGCTTTGAGGAATGTTATAACAGCCTTAGGTAAATTAAGTAATTTTACAATTTGCATCATTTATAATTGTTATCCCTTCTAGCTGATAAACATTTGAAATCTACCCGGAAACGCTTCATTCCTTATAGGGATTCAATACTGACGTGGCTTCTGAAAGACACTTTAGGTGGAAATTCGAAAACGATACTGATATCCAGTAAGTTTAAAAATTTGTGAATATCCATGAATAATGATTGTTCTTCAGCAATTTCCCCATCGAGTGCATGCTACAGCGAGACGGTCAACACATTGCGGTTTGGGCAAACGGCCAAGCAAATCGTTGTACAGCCTCTTTTCATTGAAGATCCCAAAGAGAGAACCATACGGGAGCTGCGCACAGAAATAGCCAAACTTAAAGAGCTTCTATATTTTGCCCAAGTATGTGCATTAAATTGATCGATTCCAGTTTACCATTGAGATGTTAACGTTTCAGACGCAACAGCAACCCGCTTCGACGCAAGAAAACAGGGCTTCTGAGGGCGACATATCGTGGGAAGAGGTTGACGATTTTGATAACAGCACGGACAGCGGAATAACTTCTTCACACGCCAGTTTAAATGAAGACGTCGACGATGATTGCAAATGCGAGACGCAGAATCGAATAAATATAAGCGTTCCGATCGTTAAATTATGTGAAGTTAAGAGAACAGTGTTGAAAAGTGTGGATAAGTTGATTCCGGTTATGGAAGTAACGGCGAATATATCGAAGCCGAAACCTCCGGTTCCGCTGCAAAGAACCTACAGCGTGGATCATAAGATGGGTGTGAAGAGTAAGAAGTTGTTTGGTTCGCACGAGGTTTTGACGTCGAAGGATAAGAAACCTATAGAAGTGAGGAAAAGGTCTTTGGATAAACCGATGAGTTTAGTGCAGAAGAAGACAGTTGCTAAAAGCGTTTTAACCGAACCGAGAACCAAATTCGAGGCGAAATCAAAAATCGACTCGCTGAGGAGGGCTCAGGTCAAACCGCGCTCTGAAATCGTAGCAGCTGTTACGCAAAGGCTTTACAACAAGGTGAAGAAGAAAGAAGCTTCCACAGATACGGACGATATCGATAAGATAGAACCAGTTAAGGAATTATCGATTTGTTCGAATGCGAGATTGAAATTGCTCGAACTTACGCGGAAAGCACTTAAAGCGCACAGACGGAGAAACGAATACACCCAAACGGATTTGTTTCCAGTCTTGAGGGTCAAAGAAATCTCCACGGATGTCGACGATCTGCAATTCGATTTATCCGAAATTAAAGACGCGTGTATCGGAACGGATCCTGTAGACACTCAAGATTTCGGAGTCGGTTGTTCTCTTACCTCTAAAAAATTGATATTCACCAGAACTTGCGGAACTTCAACCGAAAATTTGTTGGAGGAAAAACAAACTGTCCCGCAGCCGAACCTAATTTCGTTCACTAAGTATTTGCAGCCGCAGCCAGAACCCAAATTCGAGATAATCAAACCGTGCATAGCAAATCCCATATACACATCGTCTGTAAACATCAACGTTAATCACAATTACATAAACACGAATAAACCGAGCAGCGGTAACTTGTCCGATGACAGTTTGGAGGAGTATCCGCAACCAAACGTTTGCCTTCCAACGCCTGATCTTATAAGCAATCACAACTCTTTAGAGCAGTCGACTTCTTCGAACGCGATAGCTAAAAAATCGTTCAACGATTTGAGCTTCGCCAATATGAATGTGATCCAAGAGGAATTTGAGTTGAACGAGAACTATTCGACGGATTTGAAGGAGATGTGCGTCGCCAATTTCGCATTGGTGCCGCGTTGCAGCGAATCCATCGAATCTGTAGATTTACAAACTGTGTACGCATCGCAAACATTCTCTTCGAATATAAACGAAAGATGTACTCCAATCCGCGAATTTCATCCAAATTTGTGTAAAGCCAACATCGTTGAAGACTATTTAAAAGAATCACTGATCATCGAGAAACCAATCATTTTAAAATCGATAATGAAACAGCAGGAGAGCAGTGACGATGAATCAGTTCATTTTGAGAACATTCCAGACTCGTTGAATTACTACAACGAGAAGAAGAAAGTCAGGTTTAACGAAGAGCCATTCAAAAACGAAAACATGGTAGAAGCCATGACGAATTTCATGAAAGAAGTTACAACGTTGATGAGTAATTTAACGAAGGTCGCTAACAGATTGGAGAATTCTTCGGAACAAGAGTACGATGTTGAAGTGACTGTTAATGATTTCAATATGCCCAAATGCAGATCGCGGAGAAAAAAGGAGCACAAAGAGCACAGACATTGCTGCAGTCGCGAATCGAGCGTTTTCTCTGAATCCACCACACAAACATCGCCGATTCGGACATGCGAAATGGGAACAACATTTGAGGAACAATTACCTGTTAATAAATACGAGGCGATCGTGAGGGAATCGTGCGAACGTTTAGAGAAAGTTATCAATAAAGCGGAGACGCAGGAAGCGAGTTTGATGGACGATCTGCATAGATTTCCGCAACCGTTTTCCATCACCACCGATTGGAATTGCAGGAGTAACGCTGGAGAAGATCTGAGTTTGGAGAGTAATCTAGCCTTTTCTGATTACGGAAGTTTACCGAGGAGAAGGTATAGGAGGGAACGATTCTCAAGTTGTAGTCCGAGCACATACTTGAAAGAATTAACGACGATGAGGAAACAGATTGTCGAATCTTCGAGGGAAGCATTCTCATCTGAACCACAATGAATTTAATATTATATTACCTGAACATACAACTATATTGTTAAGATTATTATTGATTATGTATTTATTAAAATATCATTTAAGTAGATTCTTTCTTTTTTTTTATAAAATTGATAAATAAATAAAACAGACTTGTTTGTTACTAATGAACAATAATGGATATTTGTTGATTACCTATTGAAATCGTAAATATTTATAATTTATATAAGATTTTTTTTTGTCATTCTCGATGAGTTTCTTCAAGTTTTATTACATGAACACTGAAATCGCAGACAATAAAAAGCGTTTCGTACCAGGCACATTCCTACTTTACAGTTATTGCTGCGTATACTAATTGCTATTAAAAAATATATATATTTTTACTTTATAAAACAATTTTTTTTTTAATTTAACGTAATTTATTACATAAAACTTATTTGAATTAAATAGATTTATTATAAAAATCTAGACATTCTATAGATCAGCGTTTCTCAAACTATAAAACGCGTTAAATTTTTAATGAGTCGAGAAATGCTGTCACCTTGCGTCAAAATGTCAAAAAATAATGTTACAACTACAAAAAAGTATGTTAGGTGAGGCAAGGTTAGGTTAGGATTGCTACCGAGGCAAAGACTGGAGAACCAGAAGACTATGCGCGATGCTAACATTGGACGTCAGAAACGTCTTTAACACCTTGGCATGAAAGGAAATTATCAACGAACTGAGAAGAAGAGGGATAAACAACTGCATCACTAAGATCATTCGCAGTTACCTAAGCGACAGGAAGATCACAATAACAAGCGATTCAGGAGAAAAGGAGATGACCATCACAGGGCGTGCCACAGGGATCGGTGTTAGACCCCACTCTGTGGAACATTGGAAGGGGTAACAGTCCTAGTTTCTAATAATAACAATATTCACAAGTAAATTAAAATTTTGTGACATATTTTACATTTTATTGGTTATTCATAATTATTACAAAAAAAAGGCTATCTAGATTAAGTTACCAAGAAGAACGAAATATCATTTACACAATAAAACGTGATAATTATTATCATAATTGAAAACACAATTAAACTCTGACATGACATCAATATACAAATATTCCTACATAATTACTGTTTATGACATTACAATTAATTTAAATTCAATATAGGAAATAAATAATTACACAATCAAACAACAAATAAAACATTATTTCTATTAAGTTCATTTTAAAACTTAATACACCTGCAAATATTTTGCTTATTAATTATTTTTCTAATTTATTTTTTGTCTACTCACAATTTCTTGTTGTCATTTCTGAAACAAAAAGAAATAAATAAATATAAAAAAAATATTCTAATTTTAAATTTAACATTTTCATATTTTTTGTAATCAAATAGTTTATCATTAAATATAACTTAGTTTGGCCAAAACGTTATTATTTGGGCCAACATTTTGACTAATATTGATTTAGTTATTTCTAATGAATTATTAGCAGTATATTTCTTTGACACTAAATTAACAGAACTTTAATTTGATTTTCTTCTTTTTAAAGTCTCTAATGACATTGATATTGTCAGAAAATAAATTGATTAAATTTTGAACAAGTACTTTAAATATTCTTATATAATCCGATCACGAATTTAGTGCACAACATTGAGAAAGCTATTAGAAGTGTTAATATAATTTATCAAGAGTTTACTGCTATAAACTAGCGTTTCTCAACCTATAAGTAGCGTTACATTTTTAATGAGTCGCAAAAATGACAGCTGTCATCTTGCGTAATACTTTTAGCTGTCAAATATATTGGGTGGTGCAGAAAGAAGTTTCTACTTTGCAACGTAAAGATTATATAATAAAGTGTTTAGTTTAATTAAAGAAAAGTACCTAAAGGATAGTAAATAAGACTCTTCCTCTTGACATAACCAGTCATGGGTATACGTAATTCGCAATTGATCAGATCGCCCGGATCCAGATCGTCCAAATTGGCGGTAGCAACTATGAACGAAGAGAATCTTCCATCCTCTTGATGTCGAACTGTGTCCCATTCAATCGCTTCCAACGGATTCCTGAAACACATACAAACATTGTATAAATCCTTAATTTCTGATCTTATGATTATTTTAATAATACTTATTTATAACGTCGTTCTTTTTGTCCCTGTAGAGCGACAACTTGGGTTTCGGGTACACCTTGGAAGCCATGCACGTGAAATTAATTTTACTGCGACTGGGTTTGTTTTCGTACATATCCAAAGATTTTTCAGGTTCTGAAAATTTAGATTTATTACAACCAAATTGTAATTCTTACATCTAAATTGTAATTCTATCATCTAAACCAGTGCTTTTCAACCGGTTTATCGTACAAAGAAGTACCAAGCTTATATTCAAATAACAAAATTGAAACATCATCATAATTTAAGTGTGCCGTGAATGTTTCACTATAGATTCAAGAGTGTCGTGACATACAAAAAAAAAGTTGAAAACTACTGATCTGATACTAACGTACCGAAAATGATCATAACTTTAGCACTGAAATCTTCATCGGCGAACGTCGACACGAAACATTTGTACTCTCCCTCAATCGAAGTGATGGGATTATTAATTTTGATCGCCCGGTGAACCGTGTTCGGATTGTTGGTGGCTGCATAAGATAAGTCGATGCGATCTTTCAGAACGCCCAAACTCTGCGGAAGTTTCGGTGGTATCCACTGGTAAACGACTTCGTCGTTCAAAAGCCATTTGACCACGAGATCTGTGTCATCAGGACGAACCGAGTAATTGCAGTCCAAGATCACAGGGCGATTCGTATTGTTACGCACTGACGGCGGGACTTTGATATAATTGATCTGCACAGAGGATGCTCCAATTGCTGAAAGAAAAACGAATTGATTTCGATCGCGCATCAAATATTCAACGATTCAATTTAAGCCTTGATACCAAAACGAATTGGAAAACAGGCTTCAATTACGGAAATCATTATTTATTGAAATGCACAGAAACATATGTAATGATACCAATGATGAACTCATTGTATAATGGTCTTCTTCGTCATCATCCCGCACGAGCTCGGATCACACACATCAAAGGGACGCTGCGTCTACTATAGTATCGTAATCTAAGTAAATGTTTAACCAACCGTTCAGCAGTTATAAATAGAACAAAGATACCCCTTTTTTACTGGAAAAAATCCATAAAGTGGTTTAATCTTCTCGTTAAAAACATATTTTTAAACCAGACACATAATTTATTTTATCTCTTCATTTAATCATAATTCATTTTAATTTGAACTTAAACCACACATTAAGAAATTTACATTAATTTAAAAATAATTATATCAAAAACAATTATATAATTATGTACAATATAAATATGAAACAACTTTGCAAAATGCAAATATTTTTATAAACTTTTTCGTTTATTAAAAAGACGAAAAATCATTTAAAAATTTTAAAATTGTTCAAAATATGTCTTGAAAAGTATATTTTTGGAAACAACATTTAAATATAAACTAATTATTAACATTTTTCAGTAACAATTTGCAATGTTTTTTCTTTGCTTTTTTTCAATGATTGGAATTAAAAATATTAAACTAACAATTGTTAATTTCGATTCAATTTTTTTATAGTAAATTACAAACATTTATATTATTTAATTAAATTATATTCAAAGACATTTATTTTTCAAAATACTTACAGAAATATGTTATTATTAGCATGGAAATTAGGAGCATTTTATATGTTAACTTTAACTACCCCCAAGAGAAGCTTTGAACTAAATAACATTTCCATGCATACACACAACACGCATGTAAATTTGAAGATCTTGCGCACATTGTACAACATATTATTATACATTTCCTTTAAATATACGAGATTTAAATGATTTTAATACTATTTTTAAGTATTAGTAACTTAATAATTATATTTTTTATAGGTCTATATCGCAAAGTCCGAAAGACCGTCTATTGAAATCCCGACTGTATCAGAATCTCGACAACCATAATCCCGACTATATCGAAAAATTTTACAATAACATTTTTAAATTATTTCGGAGCGTAGTCACCTTGTGCTACACTTTTATTATTAATAACAATAAATTATTATTAATTTATTTGATTTTGTTGAATAATTCATAATAAACCATAACATTATGAAATAATCTCAAATACAATTAGATTATTAATTATTAATAACAAATTAAACAACAATTTTAAAAATATTATTGTAGACATTTTCGATATAGTCGGGATTTTGATACAGTCGGGATTATGGTTGTCGAGATTTTAATATAGTCGGGATTTCAAACGTCGGGAATTTTATTGACGGTATTTTTTATAATTTGAAGTTGCATTGGAATTTGTTGGACTATTGAACTATTTTGTTGGACTTCAAAATCTTCATTAAAAAAACTATATTGTTCTATATTAAACGGAGTAAATTAGAAATGAATTAATTTAAATTGTGGTATATTGAAATTTGAAATCTCTACTTGGTTGAAATATTCATTAAAAGTGTTTTATTATTTAGCCTAGTTTAATACAGAAATAAGTCAAATAACAAAACTTAAATTATAGATCTTCAAGTTAAGAAGACTTCTAATTGGATTGATAATATATTTATTATATTTTACTTCTCATAAATTTGTTTAAAACAGTTTTCTTCATAGCTATGTACATTTTACTGTTGCAATAATGTGTATTTCTTTTACAAGGTGAAACCAGTTACAGTAAAACGTTTTTCACAATAATTACGCTGTTTTCACTTTTAAATAGATCAGTTGTCTATAAAGCAACATCAAAGGTAAAAATAGTTCACAGAGTTTAATTATAATGTTAGTTGTGTTGCATAAGAATAATTAATAAAATTTCGTGTGCTATATGAAACGCATAATATAACTGTTTTCCTGCCAACAGCCCATACATATTTTTGTTAAATTTATGCACATAGTTATCTGGGCAAACTATGTGAGTTTAAATACGTAACGCTTATAGAATTGGTGACTGATTTCGATCAATGTCAATGGTAAGGTTATCTAACAATGCACTAGCAACATTACAATACCAGAATATTTTCCATAACAGAAGAATATGTTGAAATTAAGTATTAATAGTGAGATGATGCGTGGCGTTAGAGTAATTGGACGGTGGTTCTCGAACTCGGTAGTTAATAACAAGACGAAAATGGACCCAAAACAGGCTGCAGCACTCAATGAACAATGTTTTGTTGTTGATGAACACGATAAAATTACTGGGACTTTATCAAAGAAGCACTGCCATTTGGTATCTCCAGATGGTACGATACCTCTGCACAGAGCTTTCAGTGTGTTTCTATTCAACAAAGCTGGTGATCTATTGCTGCAGAAGAGAGCAACAGAGAAGGTACCACAGATTTAAACTTAATAATGTAATTGTTTATTGGATCATTTTGCAGGTTACTTATCCCAATTACTATACAAACACCTGTTGCAGTCATCCAATTGCAGATGTTGGTGGTGAGGATGAAGAAGCTGATGCTATTGGCATCAGGAGAGCAGCTCAGAGGAGATTGAATTACGAGCTTGGCATACCATTGGAGCAAATACCATTAGACAAGTTCAATTATATCACAAGGATACATTACAAAGACAATGGTAATGGGATTTGGGGTGAACATGAGATCGATTATGTTCTCTTCCTGCAAACAGAAGTCACAGTTAAACCCAATTCAAATGAAATCTCTGAGATTAGTTATGTGCCAAGGGACGAATTGGACAATTATTTACCATCCCTCAGTGGGCCGTTGACCCCATGGTTTGACCTCATATTGAAGAACAGGTTAAGATTGTGGTGGGACAACCTGGAAAATCTTGAGAAATGCAAAGACCATAAAAATATATTGCAATTGAAATAATATCCTAATTCAAACTAATTTATATAGGATTTAGAACTGGTGCTGCATCAACAAATATTTTTTTTAATTGGTTATTAGCGTATTTTATTACTAAATTTGTATTATTTAAAATTAAGTATTAAATAATAATAATAAAAAAGTATTCTAAATTAAAATTTAATCAATCAACAATTTTATTTCATTCAACAAAAAAAAAATAATAATTTCTATACATTATCATACAAAGCTAATAAGTGTTTAATAACGTCGTTGTTGTAGCCAACAAGTGTTGGTTTTCCTGAAACGTAGGAACACGATTCGAACAATGACATCTTGTCAGTTTGATACCAGATATTTTTTGGTCCATCCTCGCTATCTAAATCCAAAGTATTCAATTGCAAAACACCGAAATGGAAGAATTTGCCATCGCTTTGTACAGCTTGCATAGTCACAGGTTTTGGTAAAACTTTCACATCCTCCTGCAATTCAAGTTTACTTGAGCGTTAACAATACTTAACTCACTTATTATTTACTTACACCAAATTGTTCTTTAGCATAGGTAGCTGCAACTGTGAACGTTTTCAATAAACTTCTTCCTAAAATCTGATCATCAGTCACTTCCTCCTCATAGATATTCTTAACTTCCGTTGCATTATAATGAATAAATACTGTGTGTGGATGATGTTTGCTAATTGCTTTCTGTACAGCTACAATGTAAATATAATGTAAATTTTACGCAGCAATAAACAATTATTTAAAACGAAAACCTACGATAGACATTTTTCATTTCATAAATATTTTCCATATTTAAAGTGACTGTGTCTTTGATTGGATATAAATTTGGTAATTGAACATCTTGACCAGCATCCTGTGTGATGGGTTGCAGAGGCTTATCACTTGTAATCAAAGTATCCCCTTTAATTAAAAATTGAATCAAGTCTCCAGACTTCTCAAATGGAAATGCAAACTGCAAATCGTTCAAAACGAATCTCTGTTTGGTCAGTTGTGGCCCACTCAATGATTCAATTAGTTGCAACAATTTTGCAACCATCAATACACTAAAAATTTAAATATTAATAGAAAATATAATTTTTTGAAAATAATTTAAAAAAAAACAACAAACTTACTTCCTTCTACTTTCTGAAATTCCCAACAATCTTGGGAAATTCCAAGCTGGCCTCTCTGGGTCTTTTAGTTTTGGAAGCTTAACTTGTTCAGAATCAAAGAGATGTGAGTTGTAAATGATTTTCTTGACTCTACTGTCTAACTCTTTAGATGAATTCTTAATTATTATTTTATCAGGTAGACCTTGCTGCAATTCAACTGTTCTGGTTAAGCATTTGGCTTGGTTCAGACCTTCGAGCAGAACATTTTCATCCTTGTATGTGTGGCAAACACGACTGTGCCAATTGGGATGAGTGCTGTCAAATGCAATCTGCTTTGGAATTATACCAATGACATCAACTCTAAAATATTATTTTGTTGAACCGATATAGTAAATAAGTAAATTCTTACTTTTCAAAGGTCCTTGTTTCCTCCAGTATTTCATTTGGCTCGTATATAGGAATATTTTTATCCTTGAGACTTTGCAACGCACTGGATTCCCTAGGGATCTTTTTTCCCTGTACTCTCCAGTGCTTCTTAATGTGTTTTCCAATATGCTGGCGCAAAAGAATCTGTGTTAAACGCATTGTTATTTATTTCAGGAGGTTAACAATTTCATAACCTCAAAACCACATTAACTGTCAAAAATCTATTTTGACAATCGTCCGAAATATACAGGGTGATCTACATATTTGAGCGCATTTCCTAATATTTTTGTTAAAAAAAAACAAATAAACGTTTCTTATATAATATATTAACTATAATTGTTATATTTTAAGTTTATTATTTGAAAATGTATATTTACTATTTATTGTATTAAGTACTAACGTCGGCGCCGGGCGTCGCGACGCTGTACTTTTATTGATTTTTAATGGCCAGATAAAATATATAACCAGAGTGTCAAGATGAAGAGGCAGAACGTCCGTACATTATCTTTAGTTGTCTGCACGTTTACTTATTTACTAATTGGAGCGGCGGTATTTGACGCTCTAGAATCAGATGAAGAACTGCGTCGTGATGGAATGTTGCAAGGTCTGTAAAGTTATATTGTATGGTCAAAGAATCAAATACAGCTCTTGTTTAAGATTCAACCAATGCCCTTAAACGAAAATATAATATTAGCGAGGATGACTATAAGATGATAGAGTTGGTGATCATTGAATTTAAGCCGCACAAAGCCGGACCGCAATGGAAGTTCGCCGGAGCTTTCTACTTTGCAACAGTTGTCTTAGCGATGATTGGATACGGACATTCGACGCCTGTGACTGCTGGTGGAAAGGCGTTTTGCATGGGTTACGCCATGGTCGGAATACCATTGGGATTGGTGATGTTCCAAAGTATTGGCGAGCGACTCAACAAGTTCGCCTCAGTCGTCATTAGATACTTCAAGAAGTATATGAACTGCAAAAAGATAGAAGCAACTGAGATGAATTTAATGTTCGCAACTGGGATGCTTTCGTCTATTATAATAACAACTGGAGCGGCCGTTTTCTCTAGATACGAAGGATGGACGTACTTCGATAGTTTCTATTACTGTTTTGTAACTTTAACTACTATTGGTTTTGGAGATTATGTCGCTCTTCAGGTTCTATTACATTACTTTTAGTTAATTCTTAATCACTGTTAATTCATTTTCAGAACGATAATGCGCTACAAAATAAGCCCGGATATGTGGCTTTGAGCTTAGTCTTCATACTATTCGGTTTGGCCGTAGTTGCTGCAAGTATAAATTTACTCGTCCTCAGATTCATGACAATGTAATCACATCTAACTCAATTTAAATTTAAAATTAATTAAAGCTCTCAATATTTGTAGGAATGCTGAAGATATTAGACGGGAGGACAATGAGCTGCAATCGTCTTCCCATCACGTTCTTACGCTGGATGGTGAAGTGATGGCTGTTAATGGAAAGCTCTTGGCTGGACATGCTTATGGAGATGAAGAGATTTATCGGGATATTGATGGGAATTCGGTGTGCTCGTGCAACTGTCTGGGTCTAAACCACGGTGATAATCAAGAATTGCTGCTGGATGATTACCATCCTTCGCAAACTGTTCTCAACTCAAATCTGAGGGTCAAACGTGCATCGGTTTGACATCAGTAAGATGACTGATCAATTATTTTCGACATATTTAAAAAATCATAAATATTTTATCTACTAAACATTTTTGTATTGCTCTTTATCTATAATAATTAATAATAACTATATAAAATGCATGCATACATTAGAATTGTGAATCATTGCTATTATGTGTATCTTGATTTAATATTTAAAATGAACCAAAAATATGTGCTAAAGATTGATAAAAGAAGTGGAGCAACCTTCCACCATTTATTGGAATTGTAGTGAAAACTGGGGAAAACCTTTTTCCCCTTCCACAAAATAAACGAAGACATATTTGAACCATTCAGTGTAGTTGCTGATTCTTTCAAATAAATACTTTGCTCCTACACTGAAACGAAGTACTGAACTTAGACAACTTAACGAACATAAGTGCATATAGATGTATACGCCTGTACAAACGACTTAGATGTAAATATAACCTAAATGTTACACGTGAGATATTTGCTTATACTTAAACATTGAATATTAGTAATGAAGAAAATGGGAGTGAAACCAAAATTGGTTGTTCAATATGGTAAGTAGTCTAAATAAAATTAACCCAGGTTCATCAAATTATATTCAATGTTTGTTGTTTTAGATTCTGATGATAGCGATAGTGAGAAAAGTACCCAAAACAGTGCAGAGGAAGAAAGTGAACAAGATGAAAAGGACGATTTCCAATTCTCAGATGAGGATGCTGAGTCTGATTTAAGTGATGGTGAAGACATGGATGATGATGATGATGATGACAGTGAAAATGATGATGCTGGTGATGATGAAGATAAAACAGAAGTACCCACTGAAACAGTTCAAAAAGATGACACTGACTCAAATAAGGAAAGTGATGATGAAGATGATGATAGTGAGGGTATGGATGTAGATGATGAAGATGATGGTGATGGAAATAAAGGATGGGCAGACTCAATATCAAAAATATTGAACACAAAAAAGCCAGCCAAAAAGAAAAGCCTTGTTCTATCCAAAGCCAAGCTTCTGGCAGACAGTAAAAAGGATGTGCCAAAACCAAAATCTGCAGGATTTGAAATTGTAAAAGAAGATGGTAAAGTTGATGAAGCAAAAATTGAAGTTGCAATTAAAAACGACAAGAAAAGGAAAGAGGATTCTGCAAAACTAATGGTAAGTTTAAATGCACTCTGATTTAATATTTACAATTTTAATACTAATATTTTTTCTTAGAAATTATCCATCAAAGGTTTAAGAAAAATGCCAAATGCATTGGAGAGGCCACGTGAACGTGCTTTATCGAAAACAGCAACAAAAGGTGTAGTCCAATTATTCAATGCGGTTAGGAAGCAACAGAAGGAAATTAAGGATAAGCTTGAAGAAGCCGGTCCGATGGAATCCAAGAAAGAAAAGGCGATGATGAGCATCGATCGGGGCGCTTTCTTGGATAGTTTAAAGAAAGACAAATCCGTTATAGTTGATAATTTAGATGTTATGAAAAATTTGGGAAAGAAACAGCAGAAGGAGGTTGAAGGTGATGAAAGCAGTTGGAGCGTGCTGCAGCCTAACTTCAGGATGGGCGCTAACCTTAAGGACTGGGATAAGAAGGATGAAGAAGAACAGGAGATGGAGGAAGAAATTGAGTTTGCGTAAATGTTGAATATTAAAAAAAAATAAATTAAATATTTTGTATTGAATTATGTTTTTATTTTTGAACACACAAGTACTATATGTTGCATATACATTTCGCTTTTGAACATAGCCTAAAATTAATTTTTTAACCTATAAAGTCAACATTAAGAATTGTAATTGTTATATTTGTTCTGTGAACAGCAATTATGAATTCCATTTTAAAACTTAGTAGGCATTTCCTGAAATTGGAACCAATCAAGTACAGCAACAGGGCAATCAGCATATATCCGCATTTGAAGCTGAAAGAAAGTATGTTTAAGTTAACAATTTGATGTAACAAATATAAAATTAATATTCTTTCCACTAGTTTATGAAACGCAAAATGGGAAGGAGTTATTGATCGAAGGTGTGCATATTGAATCACCTAGATCAAAGTATTCTCTGAAGATGGAGGATGCAAATAAATGTTCACTCTGTGCATTGGATTTGGAAGTGAAACACACTGATGTTCTGATCCTTAGCCAGTATGTTCGTAATGATGGGTGCATGTTGCCACGAAGAGTCACTGGACTTTGTGGTAAACAGCAAAGGAGAGTCTCATCTTTAGTTACGATGGCCCAGAAGGCTGGTAAGTATATTTATAATCATCTGTATTAAATATATTTATCGGATGTTTTTTGCTTTAGGTTTAATGTCAAATTTGAATCCAGCAAACAGTAATAAGGACCCAAAAAAGAGGAACGGTTATAAGAAATATAATAAGTATTTTGATGAAAGCACATTGAAAAAGTATTGAGATTTAAACAATTCTAATACAAATTTGTAAATACTTATGGATGAATTAAACATTTGTTTTATGTTTAGTATAGATTAGAAGGTGATAAATATTTCCTTTCTTTTGTAAAATTGTTTAAAATCGCGTAAAATAAATTTTCACGTTTAAACAATATAAAGTCTCTTAGTCATAATTTGTGAATAATTGGGTTTTGATTGAATGATAACTATAGATTTGGAAGTGAACATTTATACAGCATTTTCCAAAAAAAAAGAAAACATTGATTATTATATTACTAATTTTTATTAATAATATCATAATACCATCAGTATATTTCATTAAATTTAAAGAAAATTAATTTAAAATTTATTTTTTAAATTAGTTTTCATTGTTCTATCCTCGGTGTCGTATTTCTCTATAAATTTCGGTAAAATATCTTTGAATATTTCGGGAGTATTCAAATGGGCGTGATGAGTGCCCGGCACATCATGGAATTCGCAACGTTTGTTATTTTCTTCCAAAATTTTAAATAATGTCTCGTAGTAATCTTTGTTCGAAAAGAACGGACTCTCCGCGGCCTTGCTTATGAAAATGGGAAAACTAACACGCTTAGCGGCCTCCAACAAATCCTTCTGAGGCCAGTTTATCAGCGAACCGCACTTCAATCGGGAATCACGATTGAAGAAGTATTTCCCAGGACAATTCTTCGATGGTAAAATATTCCTCTCCAGGATGTATTTGCATTTATCAATGTCAATGGAACCTCTCGTTCCCGCATTCAACCTTTTCGCCATTTCTTCCAGAGTATATGCAGGCGGGTCAGTGTCGCCGCTGTTCTGGTGTTCAAACTTCACGAAATCATCGATGCTTTTGATTATCGAATCAATGGGCTTTGGATTAATCAGCGGCTGCAAACCGTCGATGCAAATCATGAAGTCCACAGTTTGTGGATAAAGGAAACCATATGTATAGGAAGTTATGGCTCCTAAAGAATGGCCCATCAGGCTTATCTTATTCCATCCAAAGAAGTCCTTCAAACGCTTTATCATGATGGGCCCATCCATTCCATGGTAGAAGGAACCATTAGGAATCTTCGATGATAAACCGTGCCCGGGAAAGTCTACCGTCAGGTAGCTCAAATGCTTGGGCAGGAAAGGAATCAATAAATCGAAGCTACCGCAGTTATCCTGAAACAGTGATTAGGCAACACTAATACCACGATTGCAAAAGACTTATCTTTAATGAAGAGTAATCAAATATGCTTACCTGCCATCCGTGTAGGGTAAGGATTGGTCTCACGTCCTTTGGGCCCCACCATTTTCCAGCGATTTCGCCCCATGGGACGGGAATCTTGATTTCGTCATATAACCTTAATTCCTGCTGCTTCGCTTCTACGCTATAGCTTAATTTGCTAACGTGCTGAAATTGCCTCGTCAAATTTCTCAACATTATTGTAATCTTTATTGTAACACTGCCAATTAACTACTACTATTTATATATGAACATACGCACACTTAATATTTCTACTATGGTACAAAGTACACAATTTTTATGCAATATAAATTGACTACTCATTTAAGGATCTATTATAACTAAACACGGAAAATCTTTTTGATTTCGTAATAAACGCTGACCAATACCAACGATAATTACTATTTTTCACTGATTATAAAATTCAGTAGACTTAATTAACTTATAAACTATCATTAATTAGATTATTTGTATGTTTCTTTCAATATCAAAAATAGAATTATTGAAGAACCAAGGACAACAATTTTCCTATATGTTAGTATTATTGACTCCAAGTTGTAAAAATATAAAGTATATTAAGTCCATCATGTCGTAGATATGTGACGTACCTGTTATATAATAAAGCAGGGTTCTTCAACCTTTCACTGCCTTCGAATCCTTTCTGTTTCGTATTTCTGAAGGAATCCCATATATATTTATAGGGTCTATATCGCAAGCCCGACACCCGAAATCCCGTCTATCGAAATCCCGATGTTCGAAATCCCAACGTTCGAAATCCCGGCTGTATTAAAATCCCGACAATCAAAATCCCGACTATATTGAAATAACGAATATATTGAAATCCTGACTATATCAAAATCCCGACTATATCGAAATCCCGACTACCATAAAAATGTTATTGTAGAAAGTTATAATAATAAAAGACACTGTCGGGATTTTGATATAATCGGGATTATGGTAGTCGGGATTTTGACATAGTCAGGATTTCAAGCGTCGGGATTTTAATACAGCCGGGATTTCGATTGTCGAGATTTCGAACATCGGAATTTCGGTTGTCGGGCTTGCGATTGCCACCAATATTTATGCAATTTTCTAGGTTGAAGAACTCTGCTGTAAAGCATACGGTGGAAATATTCGTTATTGTATGCAACCAACATACCACAATTTTGACAATCTTTGAAAGTCGAACGAAGTATTCTAATTGGATTGACACTTGTCAAAATACTTTAGTATTTGTTATTATTAACGTGGCTATTTTTTGTTTATAATCAAATTTGTCGGGAAAGTCGATTGCATAAAACTGATTTCTCTATGCGGCTTTATCAGTAGATCGCTGGAAAATGGCTCTGAAGAAAGTAAAAGGTAACATTGAACGTATGTTCGATAAGAACCTAACAGATTTAGTACGAGGTATAAGGAACAACAAAGAGAATGAGGTAATAGTTAGAAGTGGAAATTTATTAACCAAAACTATTTCACAAATAACGTTTTTTCAGGCTAAATATATTACCCAATGCATGGAAGATATTAAGCAGGAGCTGCGGCAAGACAATCTCACAGTCAAAGGCAATGCCATAGCAAAATTGACCTACGTAAGTTATCATCCACCTAGTGATGTACCAGAATTATACATTTGTTTATGTTTTCAGTTGCAAATGTTAGGTTATGATATCTCCTGGGCTGGTTTTAATGTTATAGAAGTTATGAGTTCCAATAAGTTTACTTTGAAAAGGACAGGATATTTAGCTGCAAGTCAAAGCTTTCATTGTGATTCCGAGGTTTGTTCTCAAATTAATTCTTAATTGCTAATGAATTTTTTTTAAATATTTTAATTCTTTTCAGCTGTTGATGTTAACAACAAATATGATAAGGAAAGAGTTAAATTCGCAAAATCAATATGATGCAGGTCTTGCATTAACTTCTTTGAGTTGTTACATCAGTACTGATTTAGCTAGGGATTTGTCTCAAGACATTTTAACACTTGTAAGTGTTCTTATTATATTTTTTTGATGCCTAAAACTACATTGGATTTGCTTACAGTTAAGTTCTACTAAACCATATATAAGGAAAAAGGCTGTTTTGATGATGTACAAGGTATTTCTAAAGTACCCAGAAGCCCTGAGGCCAGCATTTCCAAAGTTAAAAGAGAAATTGGAGGATCCAGATCCTGGTTAATTGAATATATTGATTGTATTTTTTTTCTTTAATAATTCTAACTGTAATCATTTATCAGGCGTACAATCAGCTGCAGTTAATGTCATATGCGAATTAGCTAGGAAAAATCCTAAGAATTACTTGAGCTTGGCGCCGGTTTTCTTCAAATTGATGACTACAAAAACGAACAATTGGATGTTAATTAAAATTATCAAATTGGTGAGTCTTTGTTCTATTTTCTCATTATTTACAAAAATTTAAGATTTTTTTCAATTACGCAAAGTTCGCCAAATTTACATTAATTGAACCTGGTATTGGTAAGAAACTTTCTGAACCTTTGCTGCAAATTATTCGCAGGTAAAGACTACCATATTAACAATAGCAAAATATTACGATTATGATGATTTACGTAAAATATGTATGGTTAATTATATTTGAAATAATCCTTCTAGTTTGGTGCCTTAACTCCTCTAGAACCTAGGCTTGGAAAGAAGTTAATAGAACCCCTCACGAATTTGATCCATAGGTATTTGATTACGCAATGATTTTTCATGTATTTTGATGTGTATACTTTTGCAGTACTTCGGCTATGAGCTTGCTCTACGAATGTATCAACACGGTTATCGCCGTTCTGATCAGTATATCTTCGGGCATGCCCAATCACGCTGCCAGTATTCAACTTTGCGTCCAAAAGTTGCGCATATTAATCGAGGATTCCGACCAAAACTGTAAATAATTTAATTGAAAATTCACAGCTAAAGTGTGGTTCTATTGGTTTAATGATTTGCAGTGAAATATCTGGGTTTGCTGGCTATGTCGAAAATCCTGAAAACTCATCCAAAGAGCGTACAGGCTCACAAAGATTTGATCCTGCAGTGTTTGGAGGATAAAGATGAATCGATACGTCTGAGAGCGTTGGATCTTCTCTACGGTATGGTATCCAAGAAGAACTTGATGGAAATCGTTAAAAAATTGATGGTGCACATGGATAAAGCTGAAGGAACTATATACAGGGATGAATTGCTCGCAAAAATCGTGTTAATTTGTTCGCAGAACAATTATCAGTTCATAACGAATTTCGAATGGTATCTCACGGTTCTGGTGGAACTGGCCCAGATGGAATTCGGATCGAAGCAAGGTTGTTTTCGCCTTTTTTTTGCTATGGGCTACATGCGTTTCTAATTTCTAATTGTTTTCTATCGAAAGGTCACGTTATTGCTGCTCAACTCATCGATGTTAGCATCCGCGTTCAGGCGATTCGATCTTTCGCTGTCGCCGAAATGGCGCAGCTCCTCGAGTTCTACGCCTCAAATTCCCAGTTCAGCATAATGCAGGATGTGCTTTATTCTGCTGCGTGGCTTTGTGGCGAATTCGCCAGGTATGTGTTAAGTTAAAAGTAATTAACAGTAAACAAGTTGTACAAGGCAATAGACACTTTGCGCAATACTTAATTTCGATAATTATGGGTTAGTGGTAAAAGTGCGTGTTTTAATTTCAGTGAATTAAAAGAACCGGAGGCATCGTTGATCGCTATGTTGAAATACAAATCGTTGCCGCCTCACATTGAAATTGTTTTCATACAAAACATACTAAAATTGTACGCGTGCTGTTTGATGAAATACGAGCTAGCTCAGGATTACGATAAAATCTGCGGCATGTACGAGGTGACGCAGAGGAAGCTGGAGAACAGTCTGAAGTCACCTGAGATCGAAGTACAAGAGCGGGCAAGCTCTACTCTAATGATTTTGGAGGTGGTGCACTGTGAAGTCATGGCTAAGAAAGGCGTCAAAACGGAGCAAATCATGGAGGACTTTGATTTACCCATCGACGCCGAGGTGGATAAGGGCGAAACTGTAGCCATGCAGCTATTGAATTTGTTCAACGGTGATTTGAATCCAGTTGCGCCGAAGGCGCAAAAGAAAGTTCCCATTCCCGAGGGACTTGACTTGGATTCATTTATCGAAGAGCCTGATTTCGGTGAAAACGAGTACAGTTCGGACAGCGATTACGAGATCAAGGGTAATCTGTTCGTGAAAGATAGCAATGAGAGGAATAGTAAGCCGGAGCTGACTGAAGAGGAGAAGGTCAAGATACGGGAGGCTCGTAAGAACGAGCAGATGAATAATCCGCATTACTTGAAGTCCTCCAATAAGAAATACGAAGACATTCCCGTCGCCGAGTTGCAGCTGGATGTGCCTCTGAAGGTCTTGTCGAAGCGATCCGATAAGTACCTGAAGTTCGACAACGGTGCTAAGAAGAGCAGGAAGAACAAGCGATCGAAGAAGCACAAGGTGGAGAGTTCAACGGACGACGACAACGAGTTGGTCAATAAAACGTTGATGGTCAATCAGAATCTGGAACTACCCGAAGGAGCAACTCTTTCCGACTCGGAGGGTAGCGTCGGCAATCCGGACGATCCACATCGCGCCCTAGACATCGATTTAGATCTGTAAGTATCAATTATTATAATTTACTTATTATTAAGGGCGTACATTAATTCGTGTTGAATAACTTGGGGTTTTCGTATTAATCGGGGCATGCTAAATGTTAACTTATGTATTTATTTAGGCCTGGCTTGGACGAGAAGAAACTGGCGGATTCTCCGCAGCCGGAGAGCAACAAGATTAAATCGAAGAAGAAAAAGGTAGGTTTCTCTTCACCGTTTTACGTTTCGTTTCTTCAATCCGCAATGCGTTATTATCCTTACAGCACAATAAAATAAAGAAAGATAAATCGGTGGCAGCAGCGGCGGCGGCGGCGAAGCAGCCCGGCGACGACGGCGAAAATAAGAAGAAGATGAAGAAGTCCAAGGACAAGAAGGAGAAGACCAAGAAGAAAAAGAGCAAAGAATTGAGTAACGAGTACGAAGAGGCTTTAGGCATTTCGACGCCTAGCAAAGAATTTCCATAGAGATGCGAAACGGCATCAGAAAAAAAAATAATAGCTTTATTAATATTGTTTCACGTTAAGAGAACAAAAGAAACTTACTTAAAGGTTAACAATACGTCTTGTTAGGATTTCAAGTGAAATAAGTATAATACGAAATGTAAATAACGATTTTTTAAACATTTTTTTTTTGTTTGTTCATGTTTTGTATTATCATTGTTATTGCTAAACTATACTCATTAAAACAAAAGAGAAGAAAAAGTCACATCACGTTTGCTGCGAAAAATGCTTGTTTTTTCCTCCAACGCAACAAGAAGCAAACGACTTTCCGAATTCTGTGTATTTATATATATATTTTTTTTTTATTTGAATTTATTTGTAATGAATTTTTTTTTTGGAATCGTAAGTATTCATATTATTTAATTGTAGTCAGCATGCGTTTCGATTCATATTAAATAAAAGAAATAATTAATGTTCATTCTTTGGGATAATTTCATTTTCAACTATACTAATGTACCAATAATTTTATTATATTTATGGGAATCTGATCATCTTTACTTGCCTAACCTATTACATTTATGCTAATAACACATGTAACGTGTTTGACAAGTATCTGTAAGTAACTGAACAGATACTTTTGCAAAATAATACTAATGAGAAAATCGGTTGTTCCTATTTAAAAAAACTATAGTTAATATTTTAATTCTTTTAAATTAACTTAAATTGCTGTTGCAAATATTAATGATAATCGATTAATCTTATTTTTTTGCATTGATCGTAATGGGTTTTCGGACTAAAAGGAAAAATGAAGTAATTAATGTAGCGGGTGTGATTAATAAAGCGGTCGATCTTGGAGCAATATGTTTTTTTGTGTGTGTGTAAGACAGGTGAGACAAAGGGAGCCGGGGAGAAAGGCGACTTAAATCACGGCAACAAGCTTTTCGTCATGTTAATAATGTATTCAAGAGATTGAATGGCGAAAGTTTCGCTCCCGACAAGAAGACGACCGGTCTCATTCCAAGGATGAAACGCTCCTCAGGCCAGTCCGGAAATGTCAACCTTTCCCTTTGCCAAAAAAAAAAACTTTTATTTACGACATGCATTAGGTTTACATAATTAATATCAATTATAAAAACGCTTTTTTCTTTTGTAGGTTACGACGTCAGGTGGAATTTTTCTCTTGCATGTACTGAGGCGATCGTTAGATACGTCTGCAACAAACCAAAATAAAAAGAAACAAACATATGTATATTAAATAAATTTTACGTTTTATTAAAGTATTCGTATTTTATTGCGAGGGAAATTATGGAAGTGAATATAAAAAAAAATGTGTAATTATTACTGTAACGTCAGTGCGGTAACGGTAAACGGACGCACGCGGAAAGTCTGAACGTTTTCCATTGATGAATATTGTGAATATCAACGAGTCTTAATATAAAATTTTATTATCCTCTCTCATCCAGAGGTGTATCCTCGAAGTTGAACTTGAGTCTATAAGTGGTTGCTCTCTCGGCCCCGTTCGCTCTTCGGTTAAGAGTTAATGGCAATTTCATAACGCTAAAATTAGCCGTCTAAGGTTACAGATGATTTATCTGGTTGGTTGATACGTATGCATGCAGCAACAGCAACAGCAACAGCAGCAGCAGCAGAACTTTACGAAACGCAAGGTTTCTTTTACATTTCGCTCGCAGGCGACACGCCGTCTAGGTGGGTAACCCGTTCCAACGTGTATACTCTCTCTCTCCTTTTCTTTCTTCAATAACAATGCCAAAGCTATTTGAAGCTTAATTTCATTCTGTTGCTAGAAGTCTAGACAACTCGACTGATAAATATTTTCATTTCGTGAATTTGTTTAGAAGTGCGATCAGCAGAAATTTCGCTCGTTTAGAAGAGAACATGCAGATTCTTATTATTAACGCTCATGTTTTCGTTCATCCAGAAAAAAAACCGTTGGATTCTCACGCATTTTGCATCGCCCCCAAGAAACGATAATATTATTTATTTCTATATGCAATTATTTGTATCTGCAGATGTGCCTTGTGCGAGAAAGAGAGAGAGCGGCTTTCTGCATTCTATAAATGAATCTCGGATTCATTGACCTGGATGTTTACTTAAACTATTATAAAGCAACCACCGACGACCGACTCCGTAATCTCGCTGCAAAAACAACAAAATTTGCTATAGGATTATATAAATACGAGATTTCGCGGTTATTGTTTGCGATTGTGCAACGGAGAACGTACATATATGATAATAATAATTTATTTTATTTTTTTGGGTGAAAAATCATGGTCTCAGACGAATTTTTTTCGCCGGGTCAGCTGGCTCCCGTCACCGGTCACAGCCCGTGTCTCCGATAAGTCTAAAATTAACATTAAGAATAATCAAATGTTATCGTGTTAACGCACTGTCAACTTACCATTTATAAAACAAAAATCGCATTTTGTTTTCTTCTTCATTCAATACGCAGCCTCGTAATTACTACAGATCATATCTGCGAAAGATTTGTGACTAGAGAACGGATCAAGATTTGTATACGTTTATTTTGATGAGAGTAAATGTTAATTAGTCAACAATTTGTTACTTCTACACTCAATTAGTTGTAGTTGTAAAAGTTTATTACGTACGTTTAATTGTTTATTATATTACTCTTTGTATTATTATTATTAGCTTTCTCCTAATATTACCAAAAATGCAACTTTTCATGATTCACTGCGAATGTTACAAGTTCTTTTCGCGACGTTTTTAATTGCTTAATCCATTATTTTCTTCATTCAATTCGCAGCCTCCTAGTTACTACAAATCGTATCTGCAAAAGAGTTATGACTACTGAAAGATCTATTCAAGATTGATAACAAAACATATTGTTTTTGGATATCATCATATCATCAAAACGATGAATTGACACGTTTATTTTGATGAAAGTAAATCTTAACTAATCAACAATTTGTTACTTGTAATTAGTTTGTAGCCATAAACGTTTATTACATACGTTTTATTGTTTATTATATTACTTATTGTATTATTACTAACTTTCTCCTAATATTATTAGAAAAATGCATTTTTTTATGATTCACTGTCAATGTTACAAGTTCTTTTCACGACGTTTTCAATTGCTTACTCTATTTTTTTGATTAATCTATTTTTTTCTTCATTCAATTCGCAGTCTTGTAGTTACTACAAATCATATCTACGAAAGAGTTATAACTAGCGAACAATCTATTCAAGATTGATAACAAAACATACTTTTTTTTGGATATCATCAAAATGATTAAATGACACGTTCATTTTGATGATAGTAAATCTTAATTAATCAACAATTTGTTACTTGTACAATCATTACAAACGTTTATTACATAAGTTTTATTGTTTATTGTATTACTATTTGTATTATTAATAGCTTTCTCCTAATATTACCAAAAATGCAACTTTTCATGATTCACTGTGAATGTTGCAAGTTCTTTTCACGACGTTTTTAATTGCTTAATCTAATTTTTTAATTTATCCATTTTTTCTTCATTCAATTCGCAGCTTCGTAGTTACTACAAATCATATCAACGAAAGAGTTATAATTAGCGAACAATCTATTCAAGATTTGTAACTAAACATATTTGTTTTTGGATATCATTAAAACGATGATTTGACACGTTTATTTTGATGAAAGTAAATCTTAATTAATCAACAATTTGTTACTTGTACACTCAATTAGTTGCAGCCATAAACGTTTATTACATACGTTTTATTGTTTATTATATTACTTTTTGTATTATTATTAGCTTTCTCCTAATAATATTAGAAAAATGCATTTTTTCATGATTCACTGTCAATGTTACAAGTTCTTTTCACGACATTTTTAATTGCTTTATCTAATTTTTTGATTAATCCATTTTTTTCTTCATTCAATTCGCAGTCTTGTAGTTACTACAAATCATATCTACGAAAGAGTTATAACGAGCGAACAATCTATTCAAGATTGATAACAAAACATACTTTTTTTGGATATCATCGAATCTATTAAATGACTCGTTTATTGTGATGAGAGTAAAGCTTAATTAATCAACAATTTGTTACTGGTACTATCAATTAGTTGTAGCCATAAACGTTTATTACATACGTTTTATTGTTTATTATATTACTCTTTGTATTATTATTATTAGCTTTCTCCTAATATTACCAAAAATGCAACTTTTCATGATTCACTGTGAATGTTGCAAGTTTTTTTCACGACGTTTTCAATTGCTTAATCTATTTTTTTTATGAATCCATTCTTTTCTTCATTCAATTCGCAGCCTCGTAGTTACTACAAATCATATCTACGAAAGAGTTATAACTAACGAACAATCTATTCAAGATTTGTAACTAAACTTACTTTTTTTGGATATCATCGAATCTATTAAATGACTCGTTTGTTGTGATGAGAGTAAAGCTTAATTAATCAACAATTTCTTAGTTGTACATTCAATTAGTTGTTGCTATAAACGTTTATTACATACGTTTTGTTGTTTATTATATTACTCTTTGTATTATTATTATTAGCTTTCTCCTAATATTACCAAAAATGCAACTTTTCACTGCGAAATTTGCAAGTTCTTTTCACGACGTTATTAATTTCTTAATATAATAATGTTTGATTAATCCAAAACATATTTAGATGCAGTAAAATCCCAACGCAGTGGAAGTCCCGATCGTGACTAAAATCTCTATGTAATTTCAAGAAATATGTTTATTTATTTGAATTGCAAATTCTTCGTAGATAAATTGTAGTAGAGCGACATCTGGAATAGTGCACGACATTTGCTTGAAACCGGACTAAACGAAGACTTAAAAATAGCATAAAATAAACAGCACATTAGGAGACTTGGCAATATAAAGACAAAGATCATTTGTGTACAAAATATTTGTTTTGAAATTTTCAAACTGGATTCTAATGAATCCGCACAGATCGATACCGTACTATGTGAGGTATTGCTGTTGTTCGGTTGTCGAAAAAAAACCTTTTTTCTTTATAAGAATGAATTGAAATAGAGACAATTCATTCATAAAATGAAAATGCATATAAAAAAGATAGCAAAATCTATTGCAATAATCGTAAAATAAGCACAATATATAGATAAAATGTTAATTTTTAACTTCACTTTATCTGTAACGAGGAAGGGGGATTCACTGACGTTCTCTCGTCGTACATCTCACGTAACTATAATTGCAAGTTTACCTGTTTGGAAATTAAAAAAAAAATGTTCGGGAACCGAAATTCTATTCGTTATTGTTTTGGATTTTCGTTCGGAAACCGAGGCGCTATCATTGTTCACCTGTTTCTATAAAAAATCGTTACTATCGTTACAAGAACAATAACAATAACAAAAAAGTGATTTAAAATGTAGGTAAGAAATCTGAAAGTTACGAATTATTTATTTCTTGTACTGTCCAGGTTAATCATTTTAATAAGTTACTTTTTTATATTTTGTTTGTGCAGCCTTATTTATTTAATGTAAATTATCATAAAGGTTAATTACCTAGTTGTAGATGCCTCCAAATCCAAAAAAATTAACGCAAGATTTGAATTAAATAAAAAACACAGTTTTTAGTCTTCAGATTGTGATTTTGTGATAAAAGCTTTTCTATTTAATTCAAATCTTGCGTTAATTTAGGGACGCCCTTTAGAAAAGTTAAAGTAATTTTATTTTATTTAAATAAAAAAAAATGTGAAAAAGTGATAAATTATTTTTAGTAACTTTTTTGGTCCTTATCATATAATTAACCAATTTGTGTTTATCGAGATGCACGAGCGTTAGTATTTATATCCTGAAGTGACTCTATTTTTTTTTTGTATTTGAATCATATGGTTTTGATGGGAATCGAACATGAAAATTTGATACCAAGTTATGTTAATCCAATCGTGAAGCAGTGATTATTATTAATAACGTTGGTAATAATAGCATTTGTTACTATGGAAATTTAGCTATAAATAATACTGCAATTGTTAAACAAATGAGAATATTCCAATAAGTGAATTAACTTAAATATTTGAAAATGATTAAAAACCAATTTTATCTCGTACTTAATGTTTTTTTTTGTGCGTGTAAATAATCTAACAATGACAAATGCAGGTATTAAGGTGCATAGTGTCATTTGAAGTGCTTCAGTTTGGGTTATCATGTAGATTTATAGATAAAACATTTGAATGACACTCGAGCTTATCTTGGCACCTACTACCGTTTCTTTCATAGCTTACTTTATTAATTTTATTTGGAATTCCATGTCTTCCTGTTTCTCATTTTTTTGACAATTTTTGTTCTTGAAGAATGATCTTCATAGTTACATAATCAATTTATTCATGGAACTTCAATTTTGTTTTATTTAAATAATAATTATTATCAAAAGTGGATATAATTGATAAGAAAGTTTATCTTCAAAGTTTTTACAAATTCTACATGTTTTTTTTATAGAAATTTCCCAAATTGAGTATTTAAATATGAAATATCCGACTATCGAAGTACCAACTTTGATACTAATTCTAAAAGTACTTCATCAGAACTTCAGACACTTCGTTTTGGATTGTGATTATCTGTGAACTTGGCTTTTGCAGATTAATTTTTGTACCTTCAAATTGGAACTGATTTCTTCAGTTGTAACTCGATTTTCATACAGTGTTAACATTAAAAATAATGCTTAATTTATTGCAAAATTGAATCGTTAAAACGTCTGCCTACATTAACAAATTTAAGCACGTAAATTTTATGAACGCTTTCTTCGAAAACCGTTTCGATTTATTTCCGAAATATTACTCACTAGACGTGTTTTCCCCAAGTGCATTGATTATCCGTGTTAGTTTTACAACGAAGAATGTTTATAATTAAAAAATAAATGATTGTTAGATAGATTGATGCAATTAGTGACGAATTCAAAGAAGATGATCTTGTATATGTTAAAAAAATGCGTCATATAAAAAGTTATTTAACTCGATGGATTTATCAAGAAGACCGGTTCGTGGAATGAGAAACTGTGACTGTGAAATTTGTATCGAGTTGACAGAACTATAATTTACCAATTAAAAAGAAACACGTACATTTTTATTAACATATCAGTTTTGTTTGTTTTCGTCAGCGACAAGAAACAAAAATTTATAATATTATTTTAATATTTTTTTTTTGTTATTTTCATTTCGGCAAATATCTAAATATACGGAGTATGGCAAAATAAGTGTAGACTTAGACTAAACGAAAACAGGTTTGGAGAGAAATAAGATAAACGCAAACAGGGAATAAAAAAAAGAAATAGCGAAAAAAAAAAATATTTGTAAACTCTCTTATTATGTTTATCTGTTAATTTGTATAGAGTTTAATTAATAATACAATATCTTATTAACTAAATCCTAAAATGAAATGAAAAAATATATAAATGAATTAGATTTTCTAATTAGAAATTAAAAAAAAAAATTCCATGAACATTTAATTGGTCCATTTAACGAACGAAACTTAATATCTTACTATAAAAATACCAAAATCTATGTTATTTCTATGGATTTTACTGCTTTTAATTTCTCTTCTTGAGTTAATTTTGATTTTCTTTAAGATATTTGTATTAAATAATTGTTTCTATTAAATTTATTGATTTACAAAGTAATTTTCTAAGAATTCGAAAGTTCTTTTAAATGTGATTAAAAAAGAAAAAACGAGTTAATATCTGAACTTATCTAATTCTTTTTCTTTGAGTTAATTTAGATTTTCCTGTAATTATTTGTGAACTTATCTAAAGTAATAAATTATTACTATTTACATAAACTTGCAACGAGTTAAGTGAAATTCATCAAGATACACTTGACGAATCAATATTTGCAATATCCATCTCAAAACGTAAAGAAATCATCTCGTTTTTTTAAAGAATCATCACTGGTAATGAAAATTGAATCAAGTACAAGAATATCAATCGAAAACGATCATGATCCAAGCGTGATGAACCAGTACAAATCGAAAACTGAATTGCATCAAAAAAAGATCATTTGGTGGGATTACAAAGGCGTTGTGTATTTTGAACTGCATCCAAGAAACTCAACGATCAATTCAGATCTTTACTGTAAAAGACTAATGAAACTAGAGGAAGCAAAAATGGACAGAATTGGCAAATCGTGTTTCACCAAAACGATGTGAATCCTCGCACATCTTTGGTAATTATTGAAGCTTGGTTGGGAAGTGATATAATACCATCAGATTACCATTTATTTCAAAGTTTGCAAAACTCTTTGAAAGGTAAAACTTTCATTAATTGTGATGACCTGAAATCGCATTTGATTCAGTGTTTTGCTGATTAGCACCAGCAGTTTTATGGAATCATGTGCAAAAGGTTATCGAACAAATAAGTAATTGATTAAAGTTCATTCTTTGTACGCAAATATAAGAGTTTTATTTTACGCAATTTCATTAAAAAAAGCAATTGAAAATTATGATAATTGTAAGTAATTATTTAAATTGAAAATATTTGCCCCATTTTGATCAAAAGACTTAAGTATTTCTCTACTAATTTTCTTAATTAATAAAATGTAAACGTTTAAAATTTGCTTATTTTTAATAATAAACTATTACTATTTGCATTAACCGTTAACGATTCAAGTACAAGTGTACATCTGCAGTTTTAGTTGATTTTTTTTAAATAATTACTATGTGTATATTAACAAATTATTTGCATTTGAAGTTATACAAAGTGGCGCAAAAGTTATGTCATAATTTGAATTGGCTGCCATTTTTGCAGATGGCGCCAAATGTCACTGTGCTTTGACATTTATGATGTGAATTATATAGTGTGTTAGATATATAGTGAATTAGTTGTCAATAAGCCATGGAGCAATGCACACCTCAGGAACGTGGATTTATTATTACTGCTTATTTGACAAATTTTCAGTCTGTTGTTTTAACGCAACGTGAATTTCGTCGTCGTTTTCCCAGTCGTCGTGCTCGAACAATTAAGCGTTTGGTTGAGCGCCTAGTGCAAACTTGGTTTTCTTAAATCTCGCGTTTACCACAACAAACCACGAACCTTCCAAGGCTTGCAAGCTAACATTGAAGAAGTAATAGCCAATTTGGAGTCAGATGTTTTGCGAGCAACAATTGATAAGGCCGTAAAACGAGCGCAATTATGCATCAATTTGAGCGATATATTTATTTTCTAGTTATGTCACTAATTTTACACTTTAAAAAAAAATCGAAGTAAAGAATCTTCAGTTCCAATGAAGAGATCATTAATTAAAAGTTGTAAAGCTCCAAAAAGCCGATGAGGAATGTTTTGAAAGATGACTTAAGAAATGTATTGAAATAAATGGAACTTATTTAGAGAAATTAAAAAAGGATGAAAACTAAAATTGATTTAATTTTGTTTCAGCCAACTTAGCGAACTTGTGTATTATTAATTTATATGGGGAAAATTGTTTTACTATAAGAGTAAAAATCCGGAAATTTTGGCGAGGTTTCACTGTATACAATTACCAAAATGATAAATAATAGTTTTATTTAAATTGAAAAAAAAGTCTTTATTTCCTAATTATAAATTTTTATTCGCACAAATTTGCGCCAAATATAAAAACTTTCTATGAGAAATTTCATTATCTAAAAATAAAATGTATTATTTAATTTAAAGATTTAAGTCTTTTTTGTTATAAACTTCTTCATAGTTGTTAATTTAATAAAAAAAAAATGATATAAAGAAGCGTTTTTTTTTTTAATAATTACTATTTGTATATAAAGCTCAACGGGGTAAGTAAATTGGGTGCTGGACCGACGCCAAGAAGCACATCACATCACATACTATCAATCGCGCGGAAAGTGACTTAAGCCATAGCAGCGAAGTTGCGCTCGGGTCAGTCTCGCACAAGCTACGCTCGAAGTCAGACGTGTGCTGTCGTTTGTAACCAACCGCACGCACACACGACTCCCATGTGAACAACAAAAAAAAAAGAAAATCTCCTGTCCACTCTTCGCAGCAGAAACACCATCATCAAAATCGAATCAAAACAGAATACAAATCTTGAGAATTATTGTTAAAATGTTACCGGTGCATCGAACACATCCAAACTCGAAGATTCGTTAACTCTTATGGGATCCGATCCGGACTATGTGAATGTAAGTATTACACAAAAATAAAAGAATGTTCAACTTAAACTTGAAAATAAGTTAATAATTGATAAAGTCGCTGCAAAAATTTTACGAGCAACATAACAAAATGAAAGAAACAAAGTTTCACCTTGCGAGTAAACAAATGCAAATTAATGGATTTCGCGTATCGCGCGATTTTAAATTCGGAAATAAGCGAATAAGCTTAAGTCAAAAAAAAAATTAAAATTAAAATAAAATAAGAATTGAGAAGGATTTATGTTTATTTTGTGGAAGAGATGAAACGAGAAGTTGTGTAGATAAAATAATCAATTCGGTGAGGATATTTAACAGTTTCATGATTGGGTCAACAAATAGAGTGGATTCCCCAAATTCTTGGGATATGCGTTCACAATGTATGTGTGTATATTATATGCAGTGCACGATTCTAATATTTATTTGTACGGAATTCCTAGAGAGAGTATAGTGACCAGATTTCGATTGGAACTTCTCGTTTCTTTATTTATTTCATTTTATATTTTTTTTTTCAAAGTCGTCGAACGTATGTTCTCGGCTGCCCTCAGATTCAGCAAACCTTGCTTATTACATTTTTGCAAGTCCTTCCTGGTAATTAAATTTGATATATAAAACACACTGTGCAAAACTCGGAATACTCGGAATTCAATTTTCCGCGATGAGCTCCGTCATGTCCTTCCTTCTTCCCTCCGACCCATAAAAACCAACCAAGAAACTCTCGCTTTACAGCTTTAATTACAAGAAAAAAATAAGTAAATCTTACTTTGTTCCTTCCTTGCAGCTAAAAAAGATGATCCACAGTGAAGCAATATCATTACCCGGATGGCATGGAATCTCTTCTTCGGCGATCAGTGTTCTCCAGATTACTAGATAACAAGACGATTATTGTTTATTTATTATTTTTTTGTATTGGAACGTGCGCCTACAATTTAGTTTATTTTTTTGAACTTAAATGAAAGTGAACAGATTTGAAGAATACGCAGTGAATCAGTTGATTAATCCTTGTTTTTAATTTTTAAATTTTCCTATATATCATTTTAGTTGTTTACTGTTAATTTTTTTGTATTCTTGTAAATACGTACATTCGACATAACTATAATTATGCCTTGCGTGAGAAATTCGTACGACCTCTTCGAGGGCAGGATGAACACCAGATTAACGGTGCCGCAGGGCGTTTGGGCCATCTTTCTCCTCATCATGATCTCTCTCTCCGTCGTTGGAATATCAGTATTACTTTGGTTGTCCGTCGGTCCAACGCACAATCCTCCTCCATCAATTATGGCCAATGCGCCGGGAATCATAGATGGTAAGTCGCAACTCATTTCTATTATTTACCACACTAACTTAAAAAGATAGTATATTAGTATATTATTAACGAAATTATTGTAAAAATAAAGGAAATTGCAAGTACAGCAATATCTCACATAGTGCGGCTTCGATCAGTACGGATTCAATATAATTATTTATTCAGTAAAGTCTCCTTTTTGTGCAGTTCATTTTTATTTGTGTATTTAGTACCTCAGTTAGTGCGGTTCTAAGCAGGTCGAGATATTGTTGTGACCGCACTATGCGAGGTATTGCTGTAATTATATATATTTGTTGAATTGTCTTTAATTTAAAATTACAATTTATTGGACCTTTTGATCAAATTATTAGCGATCGAAGTCGTCTTGACAAAATGTGTTTATTATTGTTAATTCAATAAAAATAAAATAGGTGGAGACGTTTAAAACTTATTTTTTTTTAGATATAATCACTATGAATCACTCATTTCTATTATAAACAAACTAACTTTGAAACCGTTTGAATCGTAAAATATTAGTGTGAAAAGTTTTCGTTCTATAAATAAAATAAATAATTTATTGAATAAAAAGAATGTACATTATCAACATATTTTGGCGATTATGTTAGAATTAAAGAAACGCTGTTGAAATTGATGATCATTGTAAGTACAAACATTATCTCATTTAGTGCGGATTGATCAAACTAAAAGTAAATTAGTGCATAAAATCATCATCGCTTTTTTGTGCAGTTTATTTTTGAATGCATTTAGTTCCTCGATTAGTGCGGTCCTTTATTAAATTTATTGCCCGTTTTAATCAAAGGTTTAAAGATCGAAGTCGTCTTGGCAACATTTAATTATTATTGTTAATAAAATAAAAAAAATACATCTACTTTATTCTACGTTTAAAACATAAATTTCTTTTAAAATAGCGAGGTTTCAAACAATCCGTGATATTAGTGGAACCGCACTATGCGAGGTATTATGTATTTTTTTTTAATGTAAAAACTCTTCAATTTACAATTGAAATTAATAAATTTGATTGGTCGTAACGATTGACGTCCTGTCAAAATTTTGTTTGTAATTGTTAATTCAACAAAACTAAAATAGATGAGAGCGTTTAAAACTTATTTTTCGATGCAATTGAAAACTATGAACAAGGACTAATTTCTATTATACACAAACTAATTTTGAAATGTGAGTGAAAGGTTTTCAATCCATAAACAGATAAAAAAGTTCATAAATTAAAGAAAATAAAAATTGTACATAACCATTACGGATTATGGCAATTAAATAAATTGAGAATAAAATAAACACCCGTACATGTATTCCGTTTTTGGATTTGTTGCAGCGGGAATTCCCAGGCTGCAAATGTATATAAATTTATATATTATTTATTAACTGAAATAATTTAAGCGAAATTATAAATCGCTGCTAATTGCACGAATGACGTACGATTGCAAAACTAAACAATTGCAGAGAGAAAAAAAACACACACACAAACGTATTTTCATGAGCATCTCGAAAATTGATGAATATAAAAAAAAGAAAGAATGTAAAGGAACGAAGACATTGTATATATTCGGAATGCCATAATTTGTGCAACCTTGAATTATTAACACAATTTCCAAATAAGCAACGAAAAGAGCAAAATCTCAACGAAAAAAAAAACACAAGTGATGAATTCTGGCCGGTTTGCAAATTTTTAAACAAATTACGACACGAATATATAATATAAATATATATACATATAATTTTTTATTATTATTATGTGTTCTTTTTTTTGATACAAAAATTAAATTACATTATAGAGTAAATTTTGATGGATTATTTTTAATTAGTGAGAAAATTGTACAACAAAAAAATGAAAAAAGTTAAAGAAATAGTAGTAAATTAAAATTGCAATTGACCGTAGTCTTTCTATCAAAGAAATCGTATTAAGATACATAATATAGAGAAAAATAAAAAAAAAAAAATTACATTTGCTGTGTTCATGACTTTATTATAACTAAATAATTTGTTTGCACATTTTTCGCCATATTTTCTAAGGTATACTATATAGCTGCGCCTTAACCTATAGGTCGTAAAATGACAGGTGTCATCATGTGTCAAAGTGAGTAACATGTGAAATACTCTTGGCAATCGAGTCGCAGTACAAATGAAATGTGTTGGGTCGTGAGGCAAAAAGATTGAAAAACGAACAAATTCGACTTACGAACAACCCTTTGCAATGGAACTAGTTCGTAAGTCCTGTATATTCTATCTGCAAAATTAAAAAATGAATGCAATACGGGAAATACAAATCGAACAAATTCCCGGGAATTTTCTGAATCTTTACATTAGCGTTTCTCAATTAAATTGTGTCGCGTTATATATTTTTGAATATATATGACACGAAATGACAGCTGTCAATGTGTCGAAACGAGGAACAGTGAAATACTCTTAGCAATTTGGTCTCTGTACAACTACAAATAATCGGCAAAAATTACCGGGAATTATCGGACGGGAATGTCACTCTACATCAGCGTATCTCAAACTATGGGTCGTGATTCATTTTTTTTTTCAAAATACATAATGGGTAGCAAAATGACAGCTGTCATCATGTGTCAAAGCGAGTAACTGGTGAAATACTCTAAGCAATTGAGTCGCAGTGCTAATACAAAAAAATGTGTTGGGTCGTGAGGCACAACAGTTCAAAAACGCTGCAATATAATACAGGTATCCCCCGACTTACGAACTCCCGTACTTACGAACAAAATTCCAAAAGCTTGTTACAATGAGATATACAGTGATAAAAAACTGTTTAAACAAAAATTGATAAATTCTTTAATAAAATATAATATTTTTGGAAGATGTTGCATTTGTTTCTTATGTAATTTTTTAATAAAAAAAATGTTATTTGTCCACATTGAAAAGTATTTGTAAGTAAAAATTTTGTTTATTTTAATCTATTTTTTCAAATTTATTCAGTCAGTAATACAGAATTTAACATTTATAAAAGTAAAAATCACTATAAAGTGTAGTAAGATAAGTATATTTTGAAATGTTTAAAATTTCCCCGACTTACGAACAACCCTTTGGAACGGAACTAGTTCGTAAGTCGGGGGATACCTGTATATGCTATCTCCAAAATTAAAAAATGAATTCAATACGGGAAATACAAATCGAATAAATTCCCGGGAATTTTCTGAATCTTAACATTAACGTTTCTCAATGAAATTGTGTCGCGTTTTATATTTTTGAATATATATGACACGAAATGACAGCTGTCAAAATGTGTCCCTCAAACTAGGGATCGTGATTCATTTTTTTTTTTCAAAATACATAATGGGAAGCAAAATGACAGCTGTCATTATGTGTCAAAGCGAGTAACTGGTGAAACAAATATGATGGCTTACGAGGCATAAAAGTTGAGAAACGCTGATCTATATTAAATGCAGAGAACTACTCAAGTGAGTATATTATACAAAATTGATAAATAAACAAATATATGTGATTTAACATTAAACTCTCACTTCATGATCTCTTCGACATTGATGAGAATCAGTTTGGTCTTTGTGGCGATTACGATGATGATATGGCATTGTCTCTCTTTCTTCTCGGTAACATTTTCATTTCTGGCACGTCACGTCTTTTAGTATTGTTGTCGGATTGTTGTACGTTTTTTTTTTGTTTGTTGTTGAAATAATACACGCATACAATGCGAGAGACATTTAAATTTAGCATGGCACAGTTGATGATGATCGTGTTGTATATGATAATAACAGTGTGTCCCAGACGGCCATCAAACTGATTACTGATTTCGTATGCACGGGGATTACAAATGATCGATTTCGAGGAGGTTGTTTGGACACCAACCAATTATTCTTCACAGTTTTACGATTGAATTAATGGCAACAAGAACACACACACATACGATAATAAGACGCTCGAGCACTATTAAAGCTTAATTTAATATGCGCAATCGATTAGCACTCAGTCAGTATGTGTTTTTTCTCGCTTACAAGAATCACCAATAAATTATAATCAATACCAATCATATTTTTTTATATTTATAAATACACTTGTATAGAATAATAAATAATGTAGCAGATTATACTATATATTTCTATAAAGACTTAAGTGCAGTAATTTTTAAAAATAATGGATTGTAAAAATTAATGTTTGTCTTTATAATTTACCCAAATTACATAAATATCAAAAATAAATCTAATTACAAATTATTTGTACAGTAAAATTTGGGATAATTATAAAACTTGCAATGTATATCATAATTTGGGACAAGCTCCGAAAACCTAATTCTTCTATTTATATATAATATTTGTCTGCATATATTTCAGACATGAGGTTTCAAATTCAAAGTATATTTCGTTTATTTTAAATAAGAATCAAGTAATAAATTGAAATATTTCCAATTGAACTTTAAGATTAACTAATTGATGAAATTAGTGCAAAAATCAATATAACTTTGGAAATGTCAATTGTCAATTTAATGAAATACATGTGTTAATTGATGCTGGCATAAAGCCATAAAATATTGATTTGGCTATAAATAACTAGGTTAGATTTTGAATATAGATTAGGTTTGGTAATAAATAAAGTTATAGATATAATAGACTTATACGGTCAAGAAAATAATAATAATAAAAAAATTGGTGCATTTCTAAAGTCGCTCCTTGATTTTAAATTAATTACGTAAACACAGAACCTTTACAGCAGTTAAGTTTTTGTGTTTTAGACACGAAAGAAGTGAGTTTTAAAAGCTAGATAAGAGAGTCACAAAAATGTAGTTGCAACTGCGAATCATATCGTCAAACGCAAAAAATATAGGGATCGGCAACACCTTTCTTTCGTTCTTAACAATTTTATTGGTTCTACCGTTCGGGTCGGCCCTCTTTAATCCAAATCTAAACCAATCGACAAATAGGCACGAAAATTAGGGCGTTGCGCTCAAATACTCGTATAGTAGTTTTCTTTTTGCTTTATGCAGTCAATTCTCTATTTGTACAATTTTAGAGACCTCG